AAGACCCGAATTGTTTTTAACCGAAACCCACTTTAAACAGGCTAAACCCATTTTCAAACCAACTCGGTTCAACCCAAACTAATTATGACCCGAACCGACTAGAACCCGACCCGATAAGGACTCGATCTGAATAGAAACTGCAATTAAAAAAAAACCAAATTGAACTGACCCGATAATTCTCAAAACCGACCCAAGCCGACCCGCTAATTATTTCAACCCGTTATAAACCGACATGTTATAACCCGAAACTTATAAACCCAACCCAAATCCGAACTGTTTACCCAAATTGACACCCCTATATACAAGAGATTGTTGTAACTTCCTTATAAATATAGCTTTAGAAAGAAAAACCATTTGCTCGATTTTGCTCCTATAGTATTTGACGTATGTTTAAAATATTACACTATTTTAGGTTCTGTATGTCTTTAACTGTCATTTTGATACATAATACATATTTTTTTTTGAAAGAACATGATACATATCATTATTAGTATAAATAGTCAAGTGAATCTTGTAATATTCGTCTTGATATAAACTTTCAATTATATAAACTTCTTTTATTTTTTACATTAAAAAAAAAATTAATAGTACGTTGTAGATATGCATTCGGAAGGGAAAAAAAATAAAAAAAAATACATTACGATTTAAAAAAAACAAAATTTTAAAATAAAATAAAATTAAAATTCTAGAACTATAATTTAAGGCAATTTGTTACAATTTTAATTTATTAGGTGTAAAATGCCCACATCTATAGTCTATACGTGCCATTAATAGAAAAAAAGAGAGTCAATACTCATCAATAGAGCGTCAGCCTCCTCCTATAGTTAAAAGCATACTTCGTATCATTATGATTTACGAGGACATAGTATAGTACAGTGATTATCATCAATAAATGTACATTTTATTTAAATGCATGTCCTGCAATTTATGCATGGTATGTAGGACTTTTATAGGCGCTGCCCACCACTACGTCCTTTTATCGACTTCATCTGCTAACCTCAATAAAAACTAGAGTTTGGTACTGACTTTTGCCCCATTATTCCCTACTGTACTGTACAGCTTTTCAACGCTTGATTTAATTCTAACCTTATTCCAGTATTTTCTTAGGTACATACGTAACGTTTAATTCTAACCTTAGTACAGTATTTTCTTAGGTACATACGTAACGTTATGTTCCATACTTCCATGAGGTGTCAAAAACTAAATTGGTCAATCCGATTTGAAACCAACTAACTTAAATAAAACCCGACTCAGATTTCAATGTGTATAAATAATAATTTAGCATGACTCAAATTTGAATTAGACTTAGCTCGATTCGACCTCAACAAACTTGATCCAACTTTCCGAATTAACACCTTAGCTTCCGTCTTTGATGTGTGTGTGGACGTGTGGTACGTATATATGTCTTGTATATATAATTTCTCCCGCCCACCTTATCTTTTTCATTAAAACATATCTAATTAGACTAATTTTCGAAGTGCTACTTTGTAAATGACATATTATGATTTATAAGAGACTTTAACTTGTCATTTGTGTTCATTATTGATATATAGATAGACACCTTAATCAGTTACTCGATCTTTGAGGCTTTAATTCACTCATTATTATCTACTTACGACTTTCATTATTTAATTACATATACTACTCCCTCCATCCTTTATTGATAGTCTCTTATGGAAAAAATCACGGAAATTAAGAAACTTAACTAAGAAGTAGTAAAAGTATATTGGAAAGGTAATTTACATTGGGTATGCAAAAAAAAAAAAAAATAGAGAGAGAAAGTAATAAAAGTACATGAAAAACAAAATTTACATGGGGTTCGTTTGGCTTTGCTGTGGTTTTCTGTTTTTTGGTTTTTTATTTTTCAAAATCATATGATATATGTTATGTAATGAATCAAAAACTAGTCAAACTTATTAAAATCATGATAATTTTGAAAACTGACAACAGAAAAGTGGAAATACCTTTTTCTTATTTCCTGTTTTTGGTTTTTTTTTTTTTTTAAAAAAACATAAAACAAAAAACAATGCCAAACAAAAATTTGCACAAATATTGTTGCAAATTGGAGGGAATTTTGGTAAAAAGTTAATACTAATGGTTTTGAAAAAAACAAATGGAACTATTATTTTGGGACTTAAAATTGACCATAAGGGACGGAGGGAGTATGTGATTATAAGTACTTTAATTAGAAAATATGAATTTTAAGTCTCAAGAATGAACATTATTATAGTAGTAATAAGTAAACCAAATACCAATTAACGTTAATCAGTTGAGTCATTATTACTTAATATAAAATTCTTATAAGTAACAAGTGTTATAATGGAGTGGCTTAAACATGATCATTTTATGCATGGAGTATAACTTATATATTAACGTTACCTAATTAAATCCAACTTTTGTTACAAAACACAACAATAATCCAAAAAGTTATAATAGCGACCATTCCAACACTAACTTATTAGCGTTACATAATTAGTTATTAATACGGTAGATATATTTTAACGCAAATGCATGAACATAACAATTATGATGCAATTAGTATAATTAAATATATGGCACGCATTTAACTTATTAACTACTCATTATTAAAGTGAGGTGATGGCAGACAAGGTAACCTGCTACATACCAATACATTATAAAGTCAAAATGATAGCTAAAGATAAGCTCTTTATATTAAGCTTTTGTCGAGACAGTCCATGCATTTTTATATATTGCCTAGATTACAGTAGATCAAGGACGAAGCAATCGATACACATGGTCAATTACTCGTTATAGTTAATGTGATCTTAGAATGTGGTACGGAGTAGTCTTTTTTAATGTTGATCAGCATTTATTTGAGTCAGAAATATTTTTAAGAATGGTAATTTGATGCCGGAGATTGAATCCCGACTATATTATCGTTGCTCGTATCTCTCAAGACTCAAACTATATAATTACTTAAAAAAAGAGGGAGTAATATAAATTGGATAAAGGTGTAGGGTTAGACTTTTTTTAACATGTTTCTTTACATTGTAATATACTCGTACGAAATATAAACTTTTACACTAATTACATCTTTTTGTTTGAATGTTTATTACGAAATTAGATACATACAAATTACATAAGAAAACAATTACTCATCGAGCCTTCTAAAGCGTAAAACTCTATAATTTGCTACAGTTTTTTTAACAAAGGAAGTGTGTTTCATTAAATCAACAAATTATTTTTATGTGCTTGGCTAAAGTGACTACCTAAGGAAAAAATAGAAATTGGATCCAAAGTTTTGTTTTGTTTATATTTTTCCATCTTAGATTTGTTTAGTTCTATGTAGAGGTGTCAATTCAGATAAGCAGTTCGGGTTTGGGTTGAGCTTATCAGTTTCGGGATATAACGGGTTGAAATGATTAGCGGGTCAATTTGGGTCGGTTTTGAAAATCATCAGGTCAGTTCGGTTTGGTTTTTTTTTTATTACGGTTTCTATTCGGGTCGGGTTCTAATCGGGTCGGGTTGTAGTTGGTTCGGGTCATAATTAGTTCAGGTCATAATCAGTTTGGGTTGAATCGGGTCGATTTGAAAATGGGTTTAGCCAGTTTAAAGTGGATTTCGGTTCAAAACCGTTTAGGTTCTAATCGGGTCGGGTTCTAATCGGTTCGGGTCATAATCAGTTTGGGTTAAACTGGGTCGGTTTGAAAATGAGTTTCGGTTCAAAACAGATCGGGTGAAATCGGGGGTCCGATCATTATCGGTTCATGTCATAATCGATTTGGATTGAACTTGGTCGGTTTGAAAACGGGTTCACCCAATTTGAAGCAGGTTTCAGTCCAAATCATATTAGGTTAAAATCGAGTTGGATACTTATCGAGTCGAGTTAGTCAGATAATGGGTAGGAACGGGTCAAGGTAAGTCATAAATAAGTTGGGTTTATTGAGTAGTGGGTTGAAACGGATCAAATCATAAATATATTGGGTTACGGGTTGTAAACGACTCAGTCATAACAGGTTACCGATCGTAAACGGTTCAGTCTCAACGGGTTACGGGTTGGAAACGGTTCGGTCATAATGGGTTACGAGTTATAAATGGTTCGATCGCGACGGGTTACGGGTTGGACCAGTTCAGGTTTATCGGATTTTTGCCGGGGTTAAACGATTTTCGGTTTAGAATGGGTCGGGTTACTATCGGGTTCAGACGTAATTGGTTCGAGTTGTTTTTAGTTTGGCTTGGTAACGGGTCGGGTTAGTAACGGTTCGCACAAATTCGGTTCAATTTAGTTTCGGATCGGTTTTCGGTTTCCAAAAAATAGGTTTTTAATTGTTCAGTTTCTTTTCGGATCGGTTTAAAACAATCGAATTTAATAGTTCGGGTCAGAAATCGACCGCTCTAGTTTTATGTGTCAGATCTATAGGGATTTGTAACATTTGAATCACGTATCTAAAGGAAATTTATGATAACAACAATGTTGCAAAAAAAGAAAAAAAAAAAGTATTGAAAATTTGGAATTCCAATTGTTAGGCAAGCAATTCGTTCTTTCTACTTTTTTTAGAGCCCTTAAAACAAGTTGTACTGTTCAGATAATCAGATCATAATTCGTAAGGATATACTCTTTAATATCACAAATCTAAAACTACAATGATTTTTCCTAGGCCCGTTAAAACAAATAATTTGTCTAAATTATATGGCATATACCTCAAGTTATTACGTATGATTCCTACACATCTTTTGACTTTTACAAGTTTAATTCGACTCCCTCCTTAGCTTTATATACCGTCTTTGACATCAAATACCCAGATATCCTCCCTCACTCTCAAGTGTCCGATTCACAAAAACAAGCTAGATTAACCCATAAAAAATCCGATCCGATAACTTTACTTCATTATCGATTAATAATTAATTAAACATACAAGTCGATTACCCTAATTAATTAAAGTAATAACCATCCAAAAACTCAGTGGACACAACACGTCAAGACCAAAAATATAGTGGGTAACCCCAAATATCTTTACTTTAAATTGCCCTGAGCCCCGTGATTAATGGCATCATACACAATTTTTCTTAAACCTCACTCTTTCAAAATTCTTCTTCATACTTTCCCAAATTTGTAGGAAATGTGGTCATCCTACCTTTATATCTTAAGACCCTACATTCCCATTTTTCACAACTCTTTTATCTTTTGTCACTCTCAAGTTATAAGTTATAACCATGCCTTTTAATTTTTAACAATAAAGTTTGAAATTAAAATCTTCATTCAAATCTTTTATAAATTTATAAATAAAACCCTTCATTATTATCATATTTTCCTTTTTATTATACACTTACAAACCACCCCCAACTGCCCCTTTTCATCATATATAGAATTTCTACATTTCCATAACAACTTATTATTAATTATTGTACACTTATTATTTTAGTATAACACACTATTACACACTTCAAATTGTTGCTTCCTCCTTTACAATATTCCTAACTTGGAAAATCTTGAAGGTCTAGCTCGTTTCGTGTACAACGGTTGCATTAGATATCTTCGGAAAAGTTTTTTTTAGTCATGGATTGGTATTCATGGTTATCAAAAACAGGGTTAGAGTCATCAATAGTATATGAATATGGGCTAGCATTTGCACAAAATGAGCTAGAAAAAGAGGATATATCATATTTCAACCATGAATTTCTTCAAAGTATGGGAATTACAATAGCCAAACATAGGCTAGAAATTCTTAAGTTAGCGAGAAGAGAGAAAAATCAAGCACAAAGTTTAAGCTTAAGCTTGAAGCATCCAATGGCAAAACTCTTTGTTGCTTTGAAAAAGACCAAAAAGTCCTTGGCTAATTACATAGCAACTTTGGTACATAGGGAAAATGATGGAAGAGCACTAATTGTTTTGTCAAACAAGAAGAAGATCAACAAGAAGAGTAAAATCGGCGGCGGCGGCGGCGGAGGTGGTGGTGGGATAAGCTATAGTTCAAGATGGAAGAAGGCAATGATGATGAGGAGTAGTAGTAGGAAATTAGTGATGGTTAATAGTAATTATCAAGATAGATTAATGCTCACTAATGGTGATTATTTGGGTGATTATGATAATAATAATCATGATTATGTTGATGGTGAAGGTGATCATGATTCAGTGGTTGTGTCATCACCTAAGCTTGATAGTTACTCAAGTCCTTTGATGTATGATCTTCATCAAAATAATAAGGAAGATAATAATAAAGTTTGTGATGATCAAGAAGATGATGAATATTGGACTCCTGCTCTTGAAGAAATCAGGTGGGATGCGATGTTTCAAGATTTAAAACCCACTTAATTTTTCAGAATTTTGTGGGTTCTTTTTAAATTTTAATTTTTTTTTTTTTTTTTTTAATTTGTGTGTGGAATGTTGAAAGATTTTTTTTTTTTTTTTTTCTTTTCATTTTGACTGTTTATTTCCATAATTTGAGGTTGAAAAGTAGATAGAATTTGACTTCAATAATTTTTGGGTTTTGGTGAAAAAGAAATAATCAACTTTATGGAAAAAAAAAAAAAAAAAAAGTTGAGGGTGGAATTTAGTAAGAAGATAGAATTGTAGGTGCTTTAGATGTCAAAGTAATATTTTATATTATGTATGTAATCTTAGACATAATTATTATGAGTGTAGAAAATATGTTTATCTTTGTGACTGATATGAGTTTGGATTTTGAGTTAGACCATATCAGATTCTGTAGCTCAGCTGTGTGAGAATGTATTAGATAATAATATAATAAAAAGTTCATGATTTTGATTTTCCTGTAATGTTGTAATCCTTCTTACTTTCTTTGTCTGGCATATCAAATTAATTGTTAATATCGATAGTGTGATTTGAACTAATAATACAGTGACTTTATTAGGACAGGGGTAGTATGATTTAGACTGATTGATAGCTAGAATTGTTGTTGGGATGATTATGTTGTTGGCAGTTTTATTTGTTAATTTTTGGTAGCAATTTACCCTGATACTGTTGCTTTTACTGCAAATGTTCAGCATCCTATGAACATTAATTTACAAAGTGTAGGTGGAAAAGATGTACAGTTAGCACTCTTTTGAAGAATCTGATATAATGAGCAGTATGATAAAATACACAATATACATTTGATGTTTTTTTTTTCCTTCATGTTCTCAAGTAATCTGCACATACAGTATATATGTCTTTTTAGTTGTTCCAATTTTATCAGATGTTTCCGAACAGAAGAGAAACATCCTTTTAAGTCGAAAGAGTCAATAGATCGATAATTATGTTTTCTTTAAGCTCTTAGTAGTTAGTCTTCAGTGTTGGTTCGCAGTATAATCAAACACCAATAAAGTATAATCAGTGATGTGGTGTTGTATCTCAAATAACATTTATTAACTCCCCTGTACTGTAGAGTTACATCTCCAAATCCCCTGATTATATACTCAAAATTAATGCTATCTTCTAATCATTTGCATGCAAAATTATGAGACCAACATTTGAATTGGTGTTTATTGCTTAATTTTATGTTTTTTTGAGTGAAATTTGTACAAGAGCAGAGTGTTTAATTGTGCAGATGATCGAAATTAAATGTTGTGTGCACACTAATTAAGTAATCGTTGTGTAATTTCTCCTCGTCGCACCCTCCTAACTTATTGTGTCAATAAAAATAATTGCAACTAAATAGAAACAAGGACTCAAGGAGGATCTAAGTAGTATATTGATTTTTATTCGAAAAAAAAGAAAAAAAAAAGACCTTGCTTTCAGATACTCTTTTCCAATTAAGAAGTATGCCGCCAAAAATCTATGGAATGCAACATAATTATGAAATCATTGTTATTCTAAGGTGGCTCTGATTGTTGAAACCTATTTTAGTCCACTTGTGAGTATTCAACATCGGATAAAAAGAAGAGATAGTTCCACTTTATATGATACAGGAGTTATTCCTATTATCACCAATAGATTTTAGTGAGAGTGAATGATAGCTCAATTAGTTAGAGCTTCCTTCCCGGTTCTAGGGATCCTATGATCGATTTTCAATTTCTCATCATCCGCTCTTGTGGCTCTCTAAATAACAATAAAAGACCAATTGGTTTTACTCTAGTATAGAACCTCTTTTGACCTTGTTGTTAGTGAATCGAACTCTCCTCCTCCTTATTCGGGTTGTCTAGGCCCATTTTATGTCATCTCATAATATATCACTAACATATTATGGGCTTCAACTGGCAATCATCTTTAACGTGGTTTATTGTTTTTTTTTTCAATTGAATTTCTAAATTGAACCTATTATTTAATCAATTTCAATCTTTTTTATTTGGATAATAAAAATTAAATGTGTTAAATTTTTATTCTAATATAATTTTAATTTTATGACAATTACGTATTTTATTTGTTATAATTCGAAGTATCATTCACTTTTCATTGTCCATATTTAATTTTATTATTATTATTTTTTAATCTAATTCAATTATTTTCTTTTTTCAATGGATTTCTAAATAGAAACTCTTATTTACATGTAAGGGGAAAAAAGTTTCAAATTAGGGTTTCAATCAAATTATAAAAGAAGTTAAACTTAAACCTCTCTTCTTTCCTAAACCCTTTAGCATCTTATTATTTGACATACGCTCTCTATATATTACTTAGCTCTACCCGGCCACTTCCTCCGATCCTTCAATTTCTTCATTGATGGCTTTAATTGTCCCAAACATGGATGAACCCTCAAAACACCTCTTATCATGGTTAACATCCCAACTCGATCACACTCACACCCACCAACTATCTTCAATGGAAGACTCAAGTCAAATCCGTGCTCATCGGCTTAGACTTATTCGACAAACATATCGACGGCACCTTTCCATTACCATCCACGACCATTCTAACCCCCGCTTATCAAACATGGTTTCGCCAAGATAAACTAATCTTTGGTGCTCTTATTGGTACCATATCATATGATCTCTTTCCTCTTGTTTCGCAAGCCAAAACAACTCATGAATTGTGGGATATACTAGCCTAAACATATGATAAACCTAAACCTAAACCAACGCAGGGCAAATCAGTGAGTTTTCGATCTCCATATTGTTTTTCAAAGTAGATCGAATTATTTTAGTCGGATTACTTGTTGATACGTTTTTGTCGTGTTTATTTTACCTAAGTTAAAAACATACACATGTTAAATAAGTCATATTTTCTTGAATATTAACTTTTTATAATTTTTGTCTATTGATTATTGAAAGATATTGATATTATTTAAAATAATCATTTCATTTCCTTGTTTCATATTTAGTACACATTTGTTATTGTCAATTCATAATTTCAATAATGCTTTATATACGTGAATCGAATTAAGTACAATTAATTGTCAAAGTAGAGAAGAAGTTTTATTTTGGTACAAAAGATTTCATGCACAAAAGTATTATTATTATTATTTTGACGAATAATCCATGATATATTACCATGTTATGATCATTTTTTTGGTTTTTTATTGACACGTTTTGATTGAGGAAGACTATTCAATGACTCATTGACTTGCCATATGTGATGTTTATATTTTTTTGGTTTTTTAATCGATGGTTCTAGTTTAAATACATATAATTAAGGGTTGAAATTGGTGATATATTATTTTTTAATATTAACACTTTATAATTTCTCTAATTGAAAGATAGTGATATTTGAAATAATGCATGATTTCAATATCAATTATCAAAATCTTTGATAATAGAGAACTTAGAGAAGTTGTTATGATACAAAGATTAATTACTTATTAATATAGACAAACTAGTTTGTAGAGAAAGAACAATGTGAAAGAAGGCGAACGAATGGACCGACTTAGCAACTTACCGTATGATATCATGGTACACATATTATCTTTTGTAGACGTAAAAACAGCAGCAAGAAGTAGCCTTGTTTCCAAGAGACGGAGGTATGTTTGGACTCAATTAGTTAATCTAGTTTTCGAGGCCCCGGAATCTTATGACTCTTGCCCGCAACAACTTATTAAAGGAGCTAATGATACTCAAGTAGAAAAATTTTGTACAATGGTTAACAAGGTTATGACCGCGAATTGTGCAACGTTTCTGAATTCCTTCCGAATACGTTTTCCTCTAAAGAAACCCACCCCGAATGAGATTGATAATAGGTTAATAAATTTCTTTTATCCTCTAAGGAACTCCAATCTTGGTGATATTAATAAGTGGATTCAATTCGCCTTAATAAAAAAGGTTCGGAACTTTGAGTTGAACTTGTCAGATTTCTATGAGAATAAAAATGTTCATAATAATAGTTACACAATTTAGAAGGACTTTTTCCTAATTCGCCCGGTTTATAATGATCATCTTAATACCTTACAATCTAACGGCGAGGTCATTAAGGAACTACTTAAGGCCAAGTTTTGATCCTACACAACATCAACATCAACATCTCGTTGTTTCCTCCCTCAAGCTGAAATACTTGGAGATAAGTCACTGCTGTGACATAAAGTCTGTAAAGATTTATGCTCCAAAACTTACTTCGTTTACATATTTCGCAACTTATGAATGTGACTTTTGGAGATGATTATTGCTTTCACATTCTTTATAGTTTGCATCTTCTTTCATCTTTCTCATGTCGACTTCAGAAACTCGCTATTCATTGGTATCAGGTTAGTTGTGAAGAAACATCGCGTCTTATCATCATAAGACCACTTTTATATGTGGTCTGAGTCACTGCAAATATGTGACCCTAAGGTGGTTTTATGGTGGTAAGATAATTTTAATTATAAAGTTTGTATAATTTACTCGGTTTTGGATTGATGTTCTTCCAAATTTGTATGTAGAAGAATCGTCTTCCATATGGATTGCAGATGATCCTTAAAGACAAACTTAGGTCTTTTGTTGAGAAATGCCCTGTGTTGCATACCTTCAAGTTGGAGGTATGATTATTTTGATGCACTTTTTAATTTATAAACTTGAAGGTGTCGAGATGTTACTTAAAAGTCTAAGAGATTAGATTCTCGATTTGAGGTCTTTCATTGAGAAATGCCCTATGTTGCATACCTTCAAATTGGAGGTACAATTATATTGATGCACTTTTTAATTTATGTACTTTAAGGTGTCGAGACTTAAAAGTCTAAGATATTACATTGATAATCTCGTCTACATCAATTTTCTTTTTTTAAATAATCCTTTATTTTTAATGATGCACTTTCCTTTCAAGGCAACAGTAATGTGTATTGACTAGTTTAAGTTGGTTTGCAGCTGTGGCCTTTGTCGCAACAACCAGTGCCAATGTCAGGACAAAGGGATGTTAAGATTAATTACGAGATGCGTAAACATAATAAACTCAAGGTTTCAGAGATTGTTGGATTTGATGGAAGTGCATCTCTTGCTGAGTTTGTGTTTTGTGTCACTCAAAATGCTCCGATGCTAAAGAAGATTATTTGTGATCCTCGCTGTCCCCGATCAAAGGGAAATGCTCACAAATGGTATGACCTTACATACATTGATAGATTAGCCCCCGCAAGAGGACAAGCCAAGTTGCTTGCGAAGCAAATTGGAGGAGGCATTGATGTGGTGATTCTTTGAATGATCGATATTCTTCTCTTATACCCCTTCCATCCCAAAATAAATTACCCGTTTCTTGTTAGGGTGTAATTTTTTTTTTAGAAAAGCACGAATACTTACTCTTAAGTATATAATGTTCTTTGAATTCATCTTGTTGTCACGGTCGACTTCAAGTCCCTCAAATAGTAACCAATGGACTGAATGAAGGTCTGCTCCCTGTTTATAAAGCTCCTCTGATCTTGCTGAGTGGCCTTTGTTAATATGGTACAGTACGACCATTTTGAAGTCGGTGTTTATAAGGAAAAAAAAAATACTTAAAACATGAAAGCAATAGATGTCATTTACTTGATTTCATTTATAAAGGAGTATAGAAAGATTGTACATAACATTGTTAGGACGATGACCACTGGATCTTATCCAATTGTGAATCCAGTTGTGAAAACGCGAAAAACTTATTAAGACAAGCGTCTAGAGCAATGTCTGACAGCAGACACTGAAAATTTTGAATACAAATAAGTATAACATTCAACTGGAAATCACAGGGCAAATAAAATCATTGCTCTCTGGGTTTCCAAAGTTCAAGTAGAATAAAAAATGACACTAGTTACCTCACAAAATGTACCAGACCAATTTTACGAAGGAGTACATGTGTAGTATGTAGCACAGGATTAATCTGATCTACAATTTCTGCAGCCACCTTCTCATCAATGATCTGATCTTTGACGTGAACGAAAAGAACCTCCAGCATAAAGCATTTGATATACTGGTCTGATTCTTAGTGTAAGTATTATGCTTAATAAGGATCCCAACCCACAAAGTCCAGCAAGAACTAAGAATGTAAGCTTAAAGCAAGAAGCCCCGATGCAGATTGATACTCCTTGTTTGTTGGCTTCGGCATCATATACATGACCAGCAAGCATTCCTGAGAAAAGCAGAGCACCAATGGGATTGCCAAACTGTATAAAGTTGTAAATAACGCCAAAATGTTTAAGACCAAATAGCTCAGAGGCTGTTGGAATCATTATTGCAGTCTGAACTCCGTAGCAGATCCCAAGCGATGCAGTTGCCACAAGAAGGGTACCGGTGAGAGCATATGCATAAAAAAGGAATGCTACGACCATAATCAGTTGAGTAACTGTCATCCAAACAGTCCGAGGAATTAAATGTAATCTGCAAAGCAAATATTTAGCAGTCAGTTCATGCTCCAGGAGTTCAAGTCCAGAATATCTTTGTTTGTTTTCAGTCAAACAGCTGTGCACTAGCACAATTTTGTGGGGGATGTAACTTTTCATGGATATGATACTTGGTACGGGTATAAACTAACTTATGCTTTCAAGTTGTAGATACAGATCCAATATAAAAATTTCCCCCAAACAAAAAGAAAAAACTCTTAACATAATACTACGTATGTAGTACTTTAAAGTGACTTTTCATGGACTAGGACTTCTAAGAGTTCTAATATAATGCTTGCACTTACTAGCAGATCATTTCATATGGCTATGAATTGAAAAATGGGTTGAACATCATATTTATGCAAATGGTCATAAAATAGAGCATCAACTCCCAAGATATTCAGAAGTAGACTAGGATTCTGTTTGAATTGTAACATGGTCATCTCTACCTGACCCACTGGACTGAAATTGGTCTTGCAAAATCATATTTGGGCAAATGGTTATGAAGGCTGAAGATTGACGAACATTAACTATAGCTGTTATGAAGCTAAAACGAGAATTTATTAAATTGAACAGTGAAACATCATCAATTTCCCATGAAGCAAATCAGAAAACATTATCACCTGACGAAATATTCTGAAACGGCACCTCCACCCAGGCGTCCAACAAAATTGCAGATAGAAAATAGGGACAAGAGTACGGTTGTGTCATGCTCTTCTTGGGCATAACCTATTTGAGCCAAATTGTTAAGAACAGTCACTCCAGTACCAACTCCTAGAAAGTACACAACCCACAAAAGCCAAAAATCGGCCTTGATCAAAACATCACGGAAAGTAAAATCATCTCCTCTACGGGGTCTCCTTTTTTGTTTTACAGCACCCTCTCCAACAGCTAGAAGGATGTCCAAATCAGAAGCATCTTCACCCTCTCGAAAACCCCCAAATTCTGAAGAAGATTTTACCAGCAAGGATTCTGTTTGTATCGATTCATCTGTATCTGACACCAATTTGTCTGAAGAATCAACAGGTCCAGTAAGTTTGTTTTTGGAGGGAAATAATGTCATCTTGATAGGGATTGCAAGAGGAGCCATCATTAATATAACCATAGCAACAATAAACGCATAGCAAACAGCTCTCCGGACAGAAAGTTTATCAGCAATAATTGTCGTTGTGAGGAGATAAATTCCGAGAAATATACTTGCCCCTTGAGTAAATAGGAAATGACTTTTTTCAGAAGTGTCCTCTCCAGATGCTGGTGTACAAGGTCTGATGAAGTACATCATGGAAAAGCATATGATTGGGATGCCGATAGTGAGGAAAAGGAGTAGGGCAGTATCAGATTTTTTAAGCACCATACCATATATCTCTGTATATATTGCAGCACTAAGACCAACATAACCCTTCAGAAGACCAGCAACTGTGCCCCTACTCAGAGGGAAGTTCCTCATGTTGGTGACAAGAACAGCTGTCCCAAAAAATGCACTGCTATTAGCCCCAATAACCATTGCAAGCCACAGCTGATCATAGAAACGGGTTGGAGTTACAGAAACATCATGAGAGTGATGCCTAATACAATCGTCAAACTAGAGAACAAAAGGAACCAATTTGGCACCAGTGCAGAACAAAGTTTGTGGATCTAATATATAGTTTACAATATAATGTCAAACTAGTAGAAAATTTTTTATTTTAATAATTGAAAGCAGCAATTTTGATAAGTTTAACCCAAAATTCCAGCATAAGAAAATGGGAAGCATGGACATCAATCTTGAAGCAACTCTAAATAATAAAAATTGCATAAAGTTCTCTCATTGCACAGCATTTAACCATCCTCTCATATATAAAAAATCTGTATATTTAGAATTTACATGTCAATGTCTCTAATTTCAAATGTATTCTTTTCCTTTATAAAATATACTGCCTCTATGGTTACTGCTCAATAAATTGCCATTCCTACAACTCCGTATAATCTATAGATTCCGAATTCATTTTTACCAAAGGAATAATTGCTCTAAATTTTACAATACCACAACAGGACTACTAATAACATACTTCACGTCTCTTAATATAAACCCAGGTCTTCATTATACACCCAAGGCTATTTTTTCCGCACATTTACTCATTTTCACACTCCTAAGGGTAAAAAATGAGTGGCTAAGAAGTAAGACTTTCAAAAATCAATTTCAAGTAATGCAATAAGCCAATAAGAATCTAAGATAAAACCCCATAAAACCAATCAATTTCACTATTGGGTACTAAAATAAAGAACACACAATACACGTGAAAATCGTCAATATCTATCAACTTCAGATTCCAAGACTTGAACTTTTTCACACACCAACCAAATCAAAATCAAAATCAAAATTTCAAATGAGAAATTAAGAAAAAGAAGTTCATACCAACCAAAAAGGCAAATTGGAAAGAGTCTGAGAAACAGCAAGCCAAAGAAGTCCATAACCCAGAAAACAACCCAAAGCACCAAAAGAAAGAACAACCCAAGGTGAAAACTTGTTACAAGCAATGCCTGGCAAAATTCCAACACTTTCACCAATATCATTTGCAACACCCAGAATTGTAATCTGCTGTTGTGTAAAACCCAGTACAGATTTCAATGAAGGTGAAAAAAGAGGGAAATTATATGAATTTCCTGCTGAAAATTCAACCCAAACTGCTGCTGCTAACCCTATCCATGGTGGTCTTGTACCAGATTTTAGTGCAAGTTCTGGCATTTTTTTTTCCCACTAGTTTTCTTTTCTGGGTTTGTTAAATTCTGACAAAGATCGGATTTTTTTTTTTTTGTTACTATTTGAGCATATCCTAAAATGAGGCTGAAGATACTTGATTTCAATATATAGTAACAATTATTTGTTTGGAGTTTGCAGTTTGGCACGTTTCCACTTCCACCTACTCAATTTTTTTTTAAGTAAGATTCAAAGTTTTTGTGTTTGTTGTTTTTGGAATATGAATGATTGATTGAATGAAAGGGGGATTGAAGCGGGAGGATAGTAGCTACTTGCTCAGTTGGAGGTTGGATTTATTACCAGAGACCCCAATTTGGCAATAATCCTTTGCCGTGTTTCTCTATCTTTCAATTTTATACAGTAGTTTCTGCCTAAGCAGCTCATTTGTCACGAGATGTTGTTATTATACGACCTCTGTTTCTTATTATGTACAACAAAGGGGTATTATTTGTCCGATATAAAATATTTCTTTGTTGTACTATTAAAAATTACAAATTTCTACTCTGTTCCTTATTAATTGCGGGATATGAAATTTTGCACTTGTTACTGCACATCTTATATCATTAATATTCTCTTCATTTCTTTTTATGGGTCATATTATAACTTTACACGTTTGTCAATACACCTATTTAAACATTAACTAATGTTTAGCCCAGACGATGTCCCAGATCTATACATTAAACATTATTTTCTTCGTATTATAGTTTTCATGTATTATAATAAAATCTTAATACTTTTATTATAGATTTAGTTGAAGAAAATACAAATAAAAATAAAAATAAAAAAACCTCGTGGCCTACATTAACTTTATTTAAGAAGAATAAATAAGCAAAAGTATTACATAGCAAAGATGGTATGGCTTCTTATTTATTTTCTAATGGACCTGAGTTCAATTCTTGTCATAAGCATTTTTTTTAATTGAGACATGACTACATTATGTCTTATACTTTGGGAATAATTTTTTTTAATTGAGACATGACTACATTATGCCTTATACTTTGGGAATAAATTAGAAGATTTTCTCATATTATGAATAGTATCAAAAATCAAAATGTAACCAATAAAAAGGAACGGAGGTAGTATATTTAATTTCTCAAAAAAAAATATATAGTATACATTTAATTATATTTTTTTACAACATAAATAGAAGTTGATATATTAAAGCTTCTAGATGAATCAAATAATATCACATACACTACCTCCGTTTATTATTATTTGCAACAATTGTATCTTTTACGGAGGCCAAGGCAAAAGTTTTTAAGCATGATTATTAAAATATAAGGGCATGTACTTAAACACTAATCCAATTAAAAAAAAAATTATTAGAACCGCTAAAACCTAGAATCACCACCACCACCACCACCACCACCGAACCCACCGTAAACCACCACGAATCAGATTTGAACCCCTACAACCACCCCACGAACCACACAAACATACAAACCCAAACCCACGAACAAGACAAACCCAGCCAGCACCACGAACCCAACCCACGCCACCCCAACAAAACCAAACCCAAACCAGACCTACCCAGCCACCACCATCAACCAGACCCACGCCACCCCCACGAAACCAGACCCACCCAGCCACCACCACGAACCAGACCCACGCCACCCCACGAAACCAAACCCATGAACCAGACGAACCCAGCCACCACCACGAAACCAGCCACCCCTAAAACCATATCTGAAACCTTTAACATCCCCACGAACCAGAAGATTTGTTGATCTTGATGAGATCGTCGAGGGACATGTTCAATCATTTTCCATTGCCATGAGAAGAAGAAAATGTAGAGGACAGAGAAAATTGAAGGAGGAAGAAAATTGGGAGAGAAAGTGGGAAGATGAATGATTTTTGGTGAAAATGATTACAATAATCAGATTTATTAGGTAAAAAGTTAAATTAGGTTAGTGATCTAATTAGATGTCTAAGTTGTTTAAGTAAGGGTAATATGGGCATTTTGTTGGCAAAAAGTTACTAAAAAAGGAAATAAAAAAGTTTGTTGCAAATGATAGGAAGCGCCTAATTTTAGTAAATGTTGCAAATAATAATAAACGGAGGTAGTATATATATGCTTTTCTTATTGCATACTCAGTAAATCACAGCATACCTTTAAGCAAGTATGTGTGCAAACTGTTGTTCAAAAAAAAAAAAAAAAAGTATGTGCGCAAACTGTGACAAATAAATTAGTTGAGAAATGATTGAAAGAGACTTACATGAGCTCAAAATAATGCAGTACTAATAAAACCGACTATTTTTGGTTGAATTAATTCAATGTTTTTTTTCTAAAAGGAACTTATTAAAGTTTATTGATTGAGACAATTTTTTACTTTAAAGTTGAAGTAAATAAAACCCGCACCCCAATTGAAATTGGCCAAATTAATCTGTGTCAAATATTTGTTGCCTACCTTGTCATTATACGTAGAGACGTAGAGTAAGAATGGACTGTAATTATTATGATAAGCCGGTCATAGAAGTTGCTCATAGATTCAAAGCGTTGGCTTGTTCTTACCACCTTATTTGCTTGTACCAAAGATCAAATAACCCTTTAATTGCGCAATTGGACTGCTGTAAAGTGTAACAATTAGCAAGGCGATTGCAAGATAAAACTGGTAAACACACAAGGAACACCGATAAAACTGTATGTGATTGAGTTATTTTGAAAGATAACATAGATTCTTAACAAGGAGTAATATAATTTTTTCTACAAGAATGTAAACCAACATCATTAATTCACATGAATCTAATAGAGTAGATCACAATTGACAGAAGTAAAATCAACACTACACAATCTCTTTAACATGGTATTGATTGGATGAGCATATGCTCAACTTTCGCCGCTAAACTAGCCACATTTACATGTTTAACTAACAACAATGTCTACTTAATCAAATAACTAAATAAAATCTACTTAGGAATTGCTAGTCAAACAAGTCCTACATATTAAGACCTTAATACCTGAGTACAAAAACTCGATATCTTACCCCTTTGTTGAAGACCTTAAAACACAACAGCCCCTACATACAAAACCCGATTGTGTATCTTCCAAGATACATAGATCCTTTCACAACACATACAAATCGTTCACCAGGCTCAGAAGTCCATAAACCCAACTGTAAGTCATGTAACAGCAACACGACCATTAAAATGAACAAAATATTTCTCAAGAACATTCTTATACCAGCAATTACTTGTCTATTAAGCAATGCATTATGATCCTTTTTATAACTAGCTAGACTGCAAACTTGTTACCATAAACTGTCCAGAATTATCAAGATTGATACATGTAGCAAATTCTTTACTCGATTTTTATATAGTAGTATGTTATTGGTTTTTGAGCTTGCATACCTAAGAAATTTGTTCTTTGAACAACTCCTTACTCTATATTGGTTATATACTTGAATGCTTGCTTGATCAGCTAGAGAGACTTAGGGAATTAATAGAACCCTAATTAATGAATTGGGAAATTGGATATTTGAACCAAAATAGATTACTTCACTAAATATACTTACCTTAGATAGGAACAGATTCGAAGTCGATATCATCAAGTTCCGTCTCATTAATGACTTCTACTCTTCTAGAGTATCTCCTCAACTTCACCATAGCCAAACATCCAATTTTGGACTAGAACAAAAACCTCCATGTTTTTGGGCATGTCAGATGACCTTAGGTTGGTCAAAATTCTGCCTCCCATACTAAAAGAAGATTCCGAGGCAAAGGATGTGATGGGAATTGCCAAAACATCTCTAGCCATACGAGCAAGAGCAGGGGAATAACTCGGATAATCGATTTGAGTTTTCCAATATTGGAGAACATCAAAATTACCTCCACCAGTTCGAGGCACACGGGGGGAATATAGATACGAGTCAATATCAAATTTGGTTCCCCTACTCTCAGGTTCATCTTCTTCGTCAAACACCTATAATTAAAGCAAGAAAAGTTGATTATTATACTAAAATCATCAAAACAAAATAAACAAAACTAAAATCAGATGAATCATCAATTTAACAACCTGAAAAATGTTCTTCCAGAAGGGACATAAATAAGAACTTGAAATACTTGGAGTTGAGGATGCACTAGTTTGAACAGAAGATGGAGTAGAGGAATTTGCATAAAATGTATACAGTTCAGTAAATGTGTCATATACTGCTTTCACCTTATCGTCATACTCCTGACCAGCATAAAGCTTGCCATACAAGTACTCCACATATCGAAGTTTATAACGTGGATCAAGCAAAACAGCAATTGAAAGTATTGAGGAGTAGTTATCCCAATACTTCTCAAACTTTTGGAGCATAGGAGCAGCCATTTCTCCGATGCTACCAATAGAGTCATTTTTAGCTTTAGCCAACACATATTTAATTGCCGTAATATAGGCAAAGTACAAGTTTGCAGTAGGGTATTCCGAACCAGAAAACAACAAGGTTATATTATAAAATGGTTTAAGAAAATCACGCATATTTTTAATGGATTCCCATTCCTCCTTGAGAAGAAAATACTCAAAACCAATCTCTTGAGAAGCAAACTTATCAATAGGCGCTTTCGCCTCCAAACATTGACAAAGCATCAAATAAGTTGAGTCCCATCGAGTTGGAACATCAAGCCTCAACTTACCAGAAAAATTAGAATGAGAATCTCTGATAGCTTGCTCAAATCTAGTAAGTGTAGAATCATGATATTCAATGTATTTCACAGTCTCACGCAACTTAATAACACTTTCATCAATCAACTTCATACCACTTTGAACAATGATATTAAGAATCTGATCTGCACCCCTGATATGAAAAAATTTACCACCACAAGGCAAAGCACAAGTAGAATGCAAGTCTTTCTTAAGATACTCAATCATGGCATCCATATCACTGGCATCACCAACAGTCATAGAAAAAGCTTTGCCTTTAAGATGCCACTCATCGATAATATTAAGAACAAAACGATAAATATCAGCACCATTATGGGGAGTTTGACAAAACCTAAACGACAACACTTTGGACCGAAGTGTCCAAGATTTATCAACAAAATGGGCAGTAAGCGCAAGGTAACCACGAGATGAGCACGCATACCACAAGTCACAAGTAAAACAGATTTTACCAGGCACCTCAGACAATAATTGACGCAACTGTGCTTTGAGCTTTTCATGCTCCATGGTGCAATGATTAAGAATGGTATTTCTTGTAATATGCTTCACATTGGGATTCAAATAACTAAGTAACTCCCTATAATGTTTGTCCTCCACCATCTTAAGAGAATAACCATGATGCATGATGGCTTCAGGCATCATAGAACAGAATTTATTTTGATCAAACGAATTTTCAGATTTACGAGCCTTACGTCGTTGATAAGGTTTGCAAAAATCAGCATGTCTTTTAAGGCTAGAAGTTACAAGATGCCCTTCAGATTCAGGAACCCAGTCCTCATTATCAGAATCAGAAACCCAGTCCTCATTATCAGATGCAGAAACCCAGTCCCCATTATCAGCTTCAATAAAAAAATTGTTAGTATGTTATTTAAGAAACTAAACTACAGAGTACTCCGTAGTTAGTATCGAAACTAAGGAAAAAGAGACAACTAAAAAAATTTCATATCTATTGAGCATACAAATTGATAACAAAAGAACATTTCCAATCACATATGAAGAGCCTCAAAGCAGGGTTTCACTCATTAGACAGAAATTTTAGCAGAACTCTAACATATCAAACACATTGATTATTTTGCCACGAATATTAGCATCCTTAGAACCATTCAGAATCATCGGAAACTCAATAACCAGATTTTGCATCATTCCAAGTTAAATTAATCCAATGACAATCAACAATATCAACATATATCAAATTTTTGCTTCACTCAAAACGGCAAAATACCATAAATCAGCCGTGTCAGCAACAGACCATTAATATTTACAAAACATTGCTTAAGAACCTCTCTATCCCTAACATATGCAGCAATTATTGGTTATTTTAGCAATGCATTCAAATGATCAACTTTTATATGATTTTAAACACAAATTATCAAAGTTAATGTATGTAGAAAATTATTTAATCAAAATAATATGGAGTATTGAAGTATACCAACTGTATTTGAGCTAGCAGAACCTTCAATTAGAGCTCCAACCTTAGGAACACATTCATTCGGATTTGATGAGGTTTTCATAATTTTTGGGATTAATGGTAAATTGAAAAGAAAAAAATTTTAATTAAGTTTAGGAGAGATTGATAGAGTAAAGAATTGATTGATTGCTGAATCAGAATATTAGATAGAACCCTAAAACCCTAATTGATGAATTGGGAGTTAGGAAATTGATACTGGTAATCGATTAGGGCTTTGGAAATTGGAATTATGGGATGTTATTTATTCCACAAATGCCCTTGTAATCTAGCCGTTAAGAAGGGGTATGTTAGGAGTTTCCACAATAAAGATGAACGTTAAGAAGGGGTATGTTAGACTTTTAGGTTTTTATTACACCAAATTTTTGACTCGACTTGTGAGTGAGTGATTTTTTACTTATTGAAATTCAATACTTCGTATTTTTGTTAACTAAGTTTATACTCTTAATTTATAATGAATTGATTCTAATTTATAGTCTGATTGAACTAATTTATAAAAGTCTTATAATCATTATGTATTTGTCCTAAGCAACCTTTTTAAGTTGAAGTTTTTTAAAAAAAAAAGAAATTTGTAAGTTGAATTGTTGAAATGAACAACATTTGTGTTTTGATTTGATAATTCAACATTAATTACCTACCTAATCATTACAAGTTGGGTGAATAAATACCTCGACCCAACCTAAATTTACCTAAAGTATTGTGAATTCGATCAAACACTCATCAATAATCACTTTGATGTGTCATGACTAGAATGAGGACCTAATACCTTTCTAATAAAAAGTAAAATAAAGAAAAATTTCTTTTTTACTTGATGAATTCAAGTTGACTTTTAAATTTTACTTGACTTAAGATTGGTAATGGCTAGACTAATTCCTGGAAAACTTCTAAGGAGTATGTATCTTCAATCAACTCACTTGATAGCCAATCCAGCAACTTACGTCTACGCTTGAAAGTAGGGGGGGTATTGGAATTCCCCTACAACCCTACGCTTGAGTTTTTTACCATCTCCACCAAGCAACTCGGTTATGGTGCAATTACATATGCCAAATTGCCAAGAAGTTTTATAATGTAAGACGTATTGATGTCGCACTATATTCCCTAAATCAGGGGTTTGAGTTATATTCTCCACAATCTCAAATTAAATAGTTATCAATTTATAATTAACCACTTTTAACCTGTACTGCTAATACAAATAGCTACTTAAATAAATCATTACAGCATTTTCATGTAGCTTCTAGTTCTAGATAGAAGATATTAAGATGCTATATACATTTTCTTGGGTCTACAGGGACCAAGGACTCCTTCATATTTGAGTCCAAATTTCAGATTACTTCTCCAAAGAGAAAGAAATAGAATGATTCAAGTTTTGTGCATTCATGTCCCCTCTGTTTCTGAATCTGATGTGTCCATCATCATCCACGAATCATCATTGTTAATTTGTTGAAGGTGTAACTGTTGTGCACGGTTTTCAGCCATGTCCCAATCCCGTTTGCAGATACAAGCTTGAATTTCTCTTGGCTGAAACTTCAACCACTGCTCATCAAGAACCCTTTCACCTTCACCTGTACTAAAAGTGGACTCAAGTGCAGCCATTGATGTGGGTATGCATAAAATATCTTTTGCTACTTTAGACAAAATCGAAAACACCCCATCATTTTTCTTCCACCATTGTAGGATGCTTTCATCTCTAGAGATAAATTGTCGAAAAAACAGATATTCATCTAATTGTGCTGTCTTACTTGGGCTAGCCCTTGGCTTCTTCAAAATTTTCATAAGCAATTTTGATCTTGGTGAATGGTCTATCTCCATATCTTCCTCTGAAGACATCATTTGGGATTGAGAATTGGGTTGTGTAGTTACATTTTTGCACTTGTATATGGAGGCATAATGAGTATAAAGCCGCTTCAAAATGTCTTTACACTCAGAAACTTTCTCTTCCACACAATAAGTAACTCCTAAAGTTTTGTAATAATAGTCTAACAAATTTGATAAACCCTCCACCTTAATATCAGGATCAAGTATCGGCGCAATACAGTATATTGTAGGTATATCAGACATATACTCCAACCATTTGTTCTTCATGATCCCAACAGCCAAACCCAAAAGCGGATCATTCTCATACATTTCAAATACATGAATAATTTCTACACATTTAATTACAACTTGATGACAATTAGCATCATAAACCAATGAGAAGGCCTGAATTGCATCATTAAACGTCTTAAACAGCTGAATTATAGAGTTAATAACATCCCATTGCAAATCTAAACTTTGGTCGACATTATCTTTATAATTGTTACTTAATATCTCCTTGTACGGGAAAATCAGACATAACATTTCATACGTCGAATTCCATCTCCTTGGCCAATCCAAAGGGAAATATCTCGGTTTTAACCCAACCGCCTTACAAGAAGTTTTAAAAACATCCTTGAAACCTCGAAATGTCCTAGTCCACCTAACTAACTCTCTAATTGGATTAATCAAACACCCTAATTCCTCCATACCTCGTTGAGCACACAAATTAGCAGCATAAGCACAACTCCTAACATTAGAAATTATCCCTCTTTCAATCGGATTAATTCTATTCGTAAGAGACTCAACATATTCATCACCATTTAAACCAGTACCAAGAGATATGCAAAAGACCTTAGTCCACAACTTAAACACATCTAACACATTACATATTTCCCAACATATTTCATTACAAGTAGCATCATCCTTAATAACTCGAAACCCAATAACCCGATTTTCCACACTCCAACACCCATCGTCGTCATCGATCCAACGACAAGTAACACATACAAAGCGTTCACTCCACTCAGAACTCCATAAATCAGCTGTTACAGCAACACTACCACCAAAATTCAAAAAATATTCTTTAAGAGATTTCTTATCCCTTTTATATGCAGCAATCATTGCTCTTTTAATCAATAAACTCAAGGGTTTCTTTCTAAAACCAGATTGAAAGCTGGGTTGAATAACATGCTCAAAATATTCACTTTTACATGATTTTATAGGAAAATTAGCAAGATTTATGTAAGTAGAAAGTTCTTCCATCATTTGAGAGCAAATAAATATACCTTCTGGGTTTGAGCTATCACACGATTCACACCCTTCAATTTGAGCTCCAACCTCAGGAACAATTTCTTCGATTATGTTGTGCATTTTACCCTTATCCATTTGATTAGGTATATAATATTTGGAATAAAAATCAAATTGAAGAGGAGATTAATTACTTTGAAGACAGTTAAAAAAAAAAAAAAAAAAAATGGGTAATTGATTTGTGTTCAAGAATGAGTAGTAAGAACCCTAATTGATGAATTGGGAATTTTGGCTGGGGTTTTAGGTATTTATTGAATCATGTAAAATTCAAGAAATGCCCTTAAAACTTGGCCATTTATGGCTTTAGGAAGGGGTATAATTGGAATTTCATAGCCGACTATCTCCACTCTTTAGTACTGTACCTCTGTTGTTCTTCGGTCTTCCATTTTACTCTCTCCTCTTATCTCAGTTTTTTTTCATCTCTGCAGTGCTCATCTTCTGGGCTGCCGTTCGTTTCTCAGGTATTCTATTAAACTTCTTCTTTCTTATATTCGTGTATTTTCCCCATTTCATCCTCCTTTAATGATTAATTCTATGTTGCTAATTGGTAACCTATGTTTTGGATGATAGAATTTATTAATTCTGCTTTTCTTCGTCTAGTTTATACCCTGATATTTTAGTAGTGTAATTTTGTGTATTTGAACTTAAAAGTTGGTTCTTTAATTTGATTATTTCTGGGTTAGTTTCCCTTTTAATGGTACAACTTCTCATTGTTACAAATATATAATATGGGCATGACTTATTAGCAAAATTAATTAGATGGTGTTGCATATTTTGAGATGAATCTGACAATTATGGTGATTGAGTGGAAATTTGAAGGTGGGTAGGAAGAAGGATGACAGAGAAAGTTTGATGTTAGTGAGATGACCATAAAAAAATAAATAAATAAATAAATAAATAAAATAAAATAATAAAAAAAAGTGTGAATTTCTTCTCAGTGTTGTCTAAACTAATTGAACAGGAAAAGGGCATGTGTGAACAATGAACAATCTAAAGATGTTTGCCAGAAGAACGTCGGCCGCCTTTTACAACCCTACGTCGAATATTAGGTTGTATCGTTGGTTGTCTTCGTCCATTTCAGCTCCATCCTACAATAATAAGCTGTTTGTTGCTGGGTTGTCGTGGTTGGTTGATGAGAGGTCTTTGTTGGATGCTTTCTCCAATTTTGGGGAGGTTACAGAAGTGAGAATATTGTATGATAAGGATACAGGAAGGTCTAGAGGGTTTGGATTTGTTTACTTTGCCAAGGATGATTATGCGATAACTGCAAAAGATGCTATGGATGGTAAGGAGCTGTTAGGTCGTCCAATGAGGATAAGCTTTGCTCTTGATAAAGTTCGAGGAGCACCAATTGTGGTACCTCGCATTCGGGACACTGTAACTGCTACCAGGGACAAGAGCTGAATTTGTAACTGTGAAGGATCATTGCTAAAGAGAAAGCTTCAAGATCAAGACAATTACTATTCGAGTGTTTAGCATTTTCATCATTGTTTGCTTACAGAATAGTATAAACATTAATACAAATTCCCATACCCGAGACAGTGTTTGATCTATATTGAGGTTTTGTCAAATTTGAAGTTTGGCTATCTAATAAAGGCTGTTTTGGGTGAGGTTGCTAGGACTCTATGAAATACCTTCTATAGTCTCTAATTGGTAGTGTAAATAATTTTAAACTTAACTTGAAAAGTTTTGTTAGTACACTTATAAACTTGATTACATTTCTAGAAGGAATTAGTATGACTAGTTCTGTTTTGAAATTCCCTCCATGCCTGCATAACTGCATTTATGTTTTATAGCAATTGGCAATTTGCCATACCAGGTGTTTGGTATTTACCATACCAGGTGTAAAGTGTTTACCAACTAAATTATGGCTAGAATGGTTGTAATAGCATGGATTGCGGTGAGGGTGGGATTTTGGATTTTCTAGTTGTTTTCCTTGGTGCATTGTGGGAAGGAAACCTTTTTGGATTATATTTGCAGGAAATGAGCAACAGATAAACAAAAAGAATCTGTCTATTTGTGGTAAAGGAATTTGTATGAGCTGAAGGTTACTATATTTAGGAAAGCTTTGTCAATTTGTATTTTCTTGACTTGTATGGTGTTACTGCTGTGCCAAGTCTCCGAAAGCTTGTAACAAATAACCTTCTGCTGTTGATTGTCTACTTCAGACCTTCAGTATCAAGCATGGAAAGGTAAGGATTCATAGCTCTACCAGAATCATGTTTAAAGTACTTCCAACACTGCAGGTATCTCAAGTCGCATCAGATTGCAAGAGATGTCTACTAAAATGCAGTTTTCTTGAAGCATATTCAATGCAACCTTAGCTTTGGTTGCTTGGTTAGGTTATTGAACTTAAGCTGACCAAGTAATGGTAACAGTTGTGTTTGGTAAAAGCTCTATGAACTGTCATTTTGAAGGTGGTTCATGAGGGGTGTGAATATGGCTGTTTAAACTGATACAGAGCTGTAGGATTACATGAGCTCACGCATATTAATCGTTCCTGAAATTCCCTCTCATTTAAAGATGAGTGGTTGGACAGTGAACTCTGGTGTGTTACATGGGTTTAGATGTTGCAGTTTATTGTTACCGTGCAGACTGTAGACTGAGTGCTCTGTCTTGCTTGTATTCACTGTTTTGCCGTCTTGGTGTTTGCAAGTTCTTCATCTGAAGGGTTACAAAATTGATCGTGATAGTGACAAATAAGAATGCTGATATTCATAATAGTTTAGGACTTGAGCAGATTTTAAGCTTTCCCTTTGTTTTGTCAAATTATTGTAATTATCTCTTTTCCTTCCCTCCTATCATCTCATTCGTAGGAGTACTCTGCAAGCTATACCCCCTTTCCCAACCTATAGCTGCTTTTTCATTCTGCTGATGTGCAAAGTACTATTTTCAGTGGTGATTAGCCTGTTTCCTTTATTATACAAGGTTCGACCTGATTCTCATTCTGAAAATGTGCAGCGCTCATGGGTAACAAACCTGCGAAACAAGAGAAGGATGAACTCCTTTTGAAGTTTCCCCCTCCTGTCGACCCTGCTTTTGCCCGGTGGCTTGCTCGTGATATTCAGAGGGTTGAGGGTTACACCGTGAAAAATTCCCAGAGCCTGAAGCCACCAGATCATTACATTGAGTTCATGCACTTGAATGGATGGCTAGACTTGGATTTAGACGACCCAGATTTGGCTCACTTGTTCAAGTGATAAACTGTTTGTTCTCCTTGTAGATTGAATGAGACTGTAAGTGTTGAATTGTATATGCTTTCATATTGCTCTACAGTTTCTCTCAAAACTGGTTTAATGGATTCATGATGCTAAATTATTCAGCAAGTCTGGTGTACCTCTTTTGATTCAGGCCTCGAAATCCAGAAACACGGCAACACCCTTGCAATTTTGTTCAAGTACTACCTATCATAGATTAATTAAATGAGACTCCCTTTTATTCATTCAAATGAACCAATTAGCCCAATCTTTGTAGTTCGTTGTTCGTGATTTCTTAGTCAGATTAAAGGAATCATTGTGCTTAATGCATCAAATACGATCAATGAAGCTTTTAAATATACCAAAAGAAAAGTATGAACACATTACATTATCACGCTATACAAAAACCAAATCAACACACGTAAAGTACGGATTGAAAAGAGATACTCCTCTGTCTCTAAAATTATCTGTTTTGACTATTGTTGTGAGGTAATCACAGGCCGAACAGGAAGAACTTTTTAGAAATGAAGGAAATATTTATAATTGTCCATGCATATCATGTTTATTTTTTTTCTAAGTAAAACCGTAACAGCATAGTGCTCAAAGGTTTTATCTTGAACCAAATGTTGGAATGCATAATGTGTGAACTTATCATATATAACGGTGATAATTTCTTCTCCAAAATGGTGTGGTAGTATCGATTCTGAGTATGCTCTAAAGACTTTCGTAAGTATCTTAGGTCTTTGCAATTTGTCTTCAATTTCAGGTGCAACATCAAGTTCCGTTGTCTCTGAATGTTCAACTGCAAATGACCCTTCCTTTTGCACTATGATTTCCAGTTGCTTTGTGCTAGCCAAATACATAGGGAACTCAAAACTATCTAGCTTCTCTTCCTTGATTAGTCCCTGAAGATTATTCATTGTAAGTTATCTATAAAATAATTCCTTGTAACTTACCCGGAAAATAAAATATTTTAAATATCTTCAACCATTGATATTTTTAAATATCAATATCAAAAATTGTACAGCAAAAATATTTGATATTTGAATGTATAATTATATAATTATTTAAGATGAATCTAACGAGACTCCACATGACTAATATTTTTTTTATGAAAAAAACCAGCAAAAGTAGATATTTGTAATGTGAATCTATAAGTATTACTGTGTCATCTTTTTAAGCACTATAAATAAATCAGCAACTTTTTGGTGCAGCAGGTCACATCGTGTGGCAGGGGTTACCCGAGTTATTTTGTTAGGGGTTACTCAAGTTACTCGGTCAGGGTTACTTGAGGGGTTTGGACAGGGGTTACTCGAGGGGTTCACTCGGTCAAGGGTTACTTGAGGGGTTGCTCGGTCAAGGGTTACTCGAGTTACTCGGTCAAGGGTTACTCGGTTAGGGGTTACTCAGTCATGGGTTACTCGAGTTGCTCGGTTAGGAGTTATTTAAAGAGTTCGGTCAGGGGTTACTCGAGTAATTCGGTCATGAGTTACTTAAGGAGTTCGGTCAGGAGTTACTCGATCAGGGGTTACTTGAGGGTTCAGTCATGAATTACTTGAGGGGTTACTCGAGGGGTTCGACCGTGGATTACTCGAGGGGTTACTTGGTCAGGGGTTACTTGAGGGGTTACTCGGTCAGGAGTAACTCAAGTAACCCCTGACCGAGTAACTCGAGTAACCCCTACCGCACGGTACAGCAGACCGTATATAAAAAATTGTGTAAATATTTTACATCATCCACTCAATCATGAACCACCTATAACAAATAAAAATACTTATAGTAGTATTTGAATCCAAGACCAATAACTTATATAGTTATCTTATAACTATGTTTCATACTTTACTAAAATATACAAAGTGCTTTGTATGTTACTTGAATTACTTTTTGTAATTTTTTTCAGTAGTTCTTTTATTGTTTTCAAATAATACGGAGCATAATTTTGAGTTTTAAAGAAGTAATTCGTGGCATCAACAAAGAAAGTGTTGCAAGTAAATAAAGAAAATACTTAATGTATGTAGTGAAATCAAAAATGAAAAGTAGGAGTAGAAGGATAGAGAACAAAACCTCCGAAATCAGACAAATAAGGGCCTCGTTCAATATTTTGGTCACGCACGGAGTCCAAATCAGTGAATCCGTAGAGCATGGTGAACCAGTAAGTGTTAATAGCATAAATCCATTTGTTACCACTTCTTTCGAGCGACATTTGAGAAACTGGCTGAAATCTGGTTCAAATTGAGCCCAATAAGCTTCAACAACTGGTTTGGGACTTGTTTCGACTATATGAATGTTTCCCTTGTTTATTGACATACCTTGGTTATCTAAAAGCCACGGTGTCTATACATAATATCGCACAGGCACACAATTACTCACTAAAGATACAAAATATCTAACGAGAAAAAACCTATTCCGTACCTCCGTTTCATATTATTTGCTACGATTTGACATAAAGTTGAGTAAGAAAAATGTTTAATCGTTGCAAATAATATAAAACGGAGGTAGTATATCAACTTAACAAGTATTTAATCAAACGAACCTTAGATAGCCAATGAAGAGTGAAATTAGAATGAACAAAATGCAAACTGTTGCGAGGAAATAGCACGTCATAATAAGAACCAGGCACACCCATCAAGAAGCATGAGGGCTAAGAGTCATCCTTTCTTTTTAATACCTCCAAATTCAGCAAATCTTTAAACAATAAGCTAAAATCATTAGAGGGAAGGTCATTCATATACATATGTAATTTAGGGTGTTGATCAACTTCACTATCAAGCCTCAATTCCTTGAACTTCCTTTGCATAATTTCTGTTATCAACGATACTAGAGCTAATGGAACATGGCCCACTCCACATCCCAAATCAGCTACATTAAGGCCCTTAATTAAGCCTTTATCCTTAGAGATTAGATATTGTATTGTGCTCTCTATTAAGTGTTGGTTCATTAGCCACACTCCATTCTGTTACAATAATCAAACTTGCATGATTAACATTTAATTAATCCAATATACAAAGACTCGATAAAGAAAAAGACTTCAATCCAATATACATAGACACGGTAAAGAAAAAATTATTTAAAGAACAAATAGAGTTGCACATGCGCGAATAAATGTCTTAAGAAAGAGATACCTGGTCAAAGGAATTTTGAACGTAACTGAGCTCCCCATCACCTTTATTCATATGAAGAAATTCATTGATTCTCATTTTTGAAACTTATATATATTACTTCTAGCTTCTCTTTTTCTTTTTTGAGCCAAACTAAGCTATTTATAAGTCTGAATTATTAATCACCAAGTTTTTATTTTGAGTTTCTTTTAATTTAATACGCATAACACATTGACCGGTGGTAAGATTACATTATAAATATAATCTATGGCATATTGACAATATTATTCCATACATTATTAGCCATGCGATACGCATGAGAAGTATTTTTTTGGAAATATTATACGCATAATCATAAGTACCGTGCAATTTTAATAAAGTGTGAACTTATATCTATTACGAAATCGATCCATTATCCATAACTTTCATTTTTTTTTTTTAATATATATGTAGACAGTGGCGGACCCAGGATTTTCCGACTGGTGAGTCACAATCGATAATCAAATATGTAAAAAAAAAATTTTACCAAACAACCAAATAATAGTACTAAAAAATACATCCAAATATTCAAACAGTACAAAATACAACCAAATGTTCATATAATACTACAAAAGACAATTAAATAGTAATGCAAACTTATTACAATAGTTCTCGACGAGTTTTCATGTTTTGATATCGATTTATGATATCTTCCATGCTAACATTAAAAAACAAATCATTCTCCAAATAAGTAATTAAACAATCATTCAACATTTGATCTCCCATGCTATTTCGTAGTTTGTCTTTAACTTGCTTCATGCCAGAAAATACCCTTTCCACACTTGTCGTTGCGACAGGAAGAAGCAAGACCAACTTCAAAAGTAAATAGACCCTATCATGAGTTTCAGACAATCCCGTTTCAACCAATTTGATTGAAAGTTCACTAAAACCCTTCAAACTCCAAAACCTTTCATATCCTCTAGCAGAACAAATGTAACTCTCAAGTGTATGACCAAAGACTATCAATTCTGAACTTGGAAATTCATTAGGATAGAATTTCGCAAGCTTAATCAATTTTTCCTTATCAAACTTAGAAAAACGATCCACAGGACTCAAACAAGACATACACACAAGTAGTTCTTTCGTTATTTCGGGAAATCGATTATCAAGTTCTTGCAATTGAAGATCAATGACACCAAAAAAAACTTCAACTCGAAAATGATGTAGATTAGACACTTGTGGGCATTTACCTCTAAACAACCTCCTCCCGAGAACAACATATTTAGCCTCCATATCTGGAACTGCAATAACATAGTCACCAATAAAAGAAATTACCTTTTCCATATGAGAATCCCATCCTTCATCTCTCATTTTTTGCAAATTAGTCTTGGTTACATTAACCATGGCCATTGCATTCACAATGTCTTGATCGTGCTTTTGTAAGGCCACATTCAAAGCATTTGTTATCGCAAATATACTAACCATCAAGTGTGCCACGAACACAAAATCAAAGGACATCAGAAGATTTGTAAGTGTTTGAGCTCTATTAGAATCTATTGTATCAGATACTTTTGCAATATCCTCAAGAGAACCAAGGATTACAGGGAATAAATCAAGTACATTCAAGATTGTCTTGAAGTGAGATCCCCAACGAGTATCACAAGGTCTACCTAATCCACGTTCTTGATTTAAACCTGAACCCGTTTCAAGTTCACCTAGAGACAAAGCATCCACCACTCTTTGAGCTTGATTTTCACGAAGAAACTCTTTTTTTTTTGTGAACCCCCCACAAAATTCAAGAGAGGTGCAAGTACATCAACAAATAACCAAGCACAATCTGAATTCTTTTTAGCAAGTGCAACTTGAGTCAATTGAAGTTGGTGAGCAAAGCAGTGGACAAAATAAGCTTCTTTACACTCATTCTCTATAAGAGTCCTAAGGCCATTAATAGAACCTTGCATATTACTTGCCCCATCATAACCCTGACCCCGTACTTGAGAGAAAGACAAAGAATGCTCCATTAATAAGGATTCAATAGCAGTTTTGAGAGTCAAAGAAGCAGTGTTTACAACATGCACAATTAAACACTCACAAACTTCTCCCTTTCTATTAACATATCTCAAACAAAGAGCCAATTGTTCCTTGTCAGAAACATCAGCGGACTCATCAGCAAGGATAGAAAACAAACCACCATCAATATCTTCAAGCATTGCTTTAGTGGTCTCTTTTGCACATGCATTTATGATATCTTTTTGGACTTTTGGAGAAATAAGTTGACAATTACTAGGAGCATTTTTCAAAACAACCTTAGAATATTCAGGATTACCTTTGGAAATAAGGGATAAAAGTGAAAGAAAGTTACCTCTTCTTAAGGAACTTTCTTTTTCATCATGACCACGGAAAGGTAACCTTTGGAGTAAAAGCCATTGGATTGATTCAATTGAAGCTTCAAGTCGCTTCCTATATGCATTTGTACTCTCAGCGGTTTGTTTTGTCTAGGCTTGTGTGATGCTTGACTTTTGTTTCTTGAACAAATCCATAGCTAACACTACATTATTATGTGCACTCAAGTGTTTACCGACATGTTTTCTTATTAAATCCGATCGATTCCATGATTTGAAACCATCACTAACAAAAGCATCACCTCCAAATGCATTTTCGTCCTTGAATAGATAACAAGGGAAACAATAGGCAGCATCCTTTTCCACACTATACTCAAGCCAAGTCCAAGTATCAAACCACTTAGCACAAAAGCGACGGTTTTTGCCAAAAATAGAAGTTTGAGGAAATACAAAGTCTTTGGGCTGACAAGGATTTCTTTGAATGTAAATTCTTCTCACTAAATCTCTATCATCTTTATGAAATTCACTCATCTTTCTCCTCTTTCCTGGATCTTGTGGAAGATTAGCAAATTCATGTTCACTTAATCTTTCACCAAAGATTGGGGCATTAGGAGAACATTGGCCTTGTTCATTTTGAGGGGAATTGAGTTGAATAATGAGATGGAGATGAATGTTGTTCACTTTCTTGAGGTTGAGATACAGTTTGTTCACACTACTAGAAATAGGTCAATTTACGACGGACTAGTTCCGACGAACATTAAATCCGTCGGAAAGTTCCGACGGATTTAAAATTTGTCGGAACTTTCCGACAGAATTTCTACGGAATACAAATCCGTTGGAATTTACGGGTATTCCGACGGAATTTTCCGTCGGAAACTATATCTTGCTACGGAAATAAAATCCGTCGGAACGTTCCGAGGGAATTAACCGTCGGAAAGTTATGTTTCCTACGGAAATAAAATCCGTCGGAATTCAATTAAATAATAAAAAAAAAAACTTAAAAACCCTATAAACTTTGCTCATCAGCCGCCCAAAGCCCCTTATTTCCCCCTCTCTCTTCTTCTCTTCCTTTTCTCTCTCCTCTCCTCCCTGTTCTCTTCTCCCTTTACTCATCTCTCCTCCCTGTTCTCTTCTCTTCCTCCTCCCTGTTCTCTTCTCTTCTTACTCATCTCTCCTCTCAAACTTACTCCACTCTTCTCATCCCCTTTCACTCTCCTCTCTGTTTCAATACCAACAACAACAACGCAAAAAAAATGGTAACCAATGCAACAACGACATAGCAATTACGGCTTCACCGGGCAACCGAGCAACAATCACAACGGACATCAACAAATTTGAAGAATAATTTTTTGAATCTTTCGTTTTTATTTTTCTGATTTTGATTTTAAATTTGTAGATCTAGTTTGTGTTTATTCGATTTTTTGCTCGGATTTTGATTTTCCTACTTTTGTATTATTCAATGTATATAATAGATTTGTTATTGTTCGATTTGTGGGTTAGATCTGTTTTTGTTTTTTTTTTGTTAATATATATTTTTTTTTAATAACGATTTTCTGATTTTATTTTAGGTTTTTTGGGTGGTCTAATGGGGTGTGAGATACGGTGGGTGGGTGGGTGGGGTGTGAAATACGGTGGGTGGGTTGGGGGTGAAATACGGTGGGTGGGTGGTGTGTTGGGGTGTGGGCTGGTTTGGTGGGCTGGGTGGTGGGTTTTTAGGGTGGTTTCGGTGAGGTGGGTGGGGGGTCTGGGTGTGTAGGGGGTCTGGGTGTGCTGGGGGTTGGTGGTGGTGGGCTGGTGGCGGGGGTGGGATTGGGCAGGTGGGGTGGGGGGCTGCTGGGGGTCTGTGGTGGGGGGGTGGGTGGTGGTAGGCTGGTGGCGGGGGTGGGGTGGGCTGTTTTTTTTTTTTTTTTAATTTTTCTGACGGAATTTTCCGTCGAAAAATACCACCTCCGACGGAATATTCCGTCGGAACCTTGCGACGGATTTTCACTGAAAGTCAACAAAAGCGCCGACAGAACAAAATCCATCGGAAATTCCGTCGGAATAGTCCTTTCCGACGGAATATCGCAAAATACCTACAAAGGGTCTTCCGACAATGCTTTCCGACGGAATTCCGTCGGAAATGGGCATTTTCGACGGAATTTCAAGGTTTTCCGACGGATTTTTTCCGTCGTTGATTGACTGCTTTCTAGTAGTGTCATTTTGTGTTGGATGTGGAAGAGAAGTTGGAGTAGGATTCTTTTTAGCAAAGAAGCTAGTAATGTTTTGCATTTCATTTAGAGTGCGTTTTCTCTTCATTCTGAAAATACAAGACTAAAATCAACAAACTAATAATTAACAAGCTATTAAACACCCTAACTACTGTTCTCCGTGTAATAACAGTTTCAACAATTTACAGCAACAATCACAAGAAAAAACTTAAGAATGATTTAAGGTTTATGTAACCACAATTCAGACACAATGTTTTACAATTCCTGAATCCACCTAGTCTATACGGAACTTCCAGCCGAATATGCGACTAGCACCACTAACCAGTCCACACTGTAATCTAATTATAAATTTATAATCCTCCTTACACTAATAACTGTCTTATACAATGTCCGACATCACATAAACAGATAAACTAATATGTTCAATTTAACAGTCAAAACACAAATAATGCAAATTCAATGAACATTCATCGTATATACTAATTTTAAGCAACAAGTAATGCAAATTTGATCAAAAATTCACAAAAAAAAAAAAAAGAATAAATTGATGATTACCTTGCCAGATGCTGATTGAGGCGAGCAGGCGGAGCAGCAGGGCCAGCAGCACAGCCATCACTGGAGGCGACGAGGCGTGAGCCGGTGAGCGAAGAGGAAGCGTTAACCACAAATCAACCAAAGTTTAAACCAAAGTTTAATAAAATTAACTAATTAGATTGAATTAAATTGAAGATTAGAAATTAAAAATAAAAATTAGAAATCAACTTACTAACGAATTAGCGATTGCGTCGAAGCGATTGCGAAGAAGCGAAGAGCAGTGACCACGGAGACGGAGCAAGCGAGCATCAAGCAGGCAAGCAGCACAGGCAGAGCAGGCGACTGGAGCCTGGAGGGTGGCTGCCTGGCTGGGTGGAGGCAGTCTGGTGAAGATGAAGCGAAGAGGAAGTCAAGAGGCGAAGAGGGAAGAGCAGCTGAGGAGGCAGTGGGCTAGGGCTTGGGGAAGTGTCGGGATCTAAAGTTAGATTTTTTTTTATTTTTTTTTGGGCCCTGGTGAGTCATTTGACCCACCAGGCACAAGGTCCAGTCCGCCACTGTATGTAGAGTATTTGTGGACGAAATGCCTGATTATTCTGCATGATATCTGATGAACATCTGTATTTGATATACTACGTACTTAGATCCAAGTTAATCAACATTAGTCATACTAATTATCTGGCCTATAGCACGTTGATATATTCTAATCTTAAATCAAAAAGTTATTGTATTCCATTTTGATTGCGCATGTTTGAGCATAAATATCTATAGTTGTATATTAGTGAAAAATGTAACAATTAAATTTTAATAAACTACTGATTAAGATGAATCATATAAAACACAACATATGACTATATTGTACGTGTTTTATGTATTGAAAATAATTTAGAAGATTCAATCAACTTATGAATATTTGTAAATTTCAAATGAGTGGGACTGTGGGAGTACTCGTACGTCACAACCTCAATTATGATGTTAAAATATGTCAAGTTTGACTTTGTCGATATGAACCAGAAATAGTATTTAATGATAAAAGATCAAAAAGGGGTGGTGGCGCAGTTGGCTAGCGCGTAGGTCTCATAGCTAAAGTTGAGTGATCCTGAGGTCGAGAGTTCGAGCCTCTCTCACCCCATTTATAATTTTATTATTTTTCTCATTCACTTTTTCATTACTTTAATTTGTATATATTGAATGATCAAATTACAACAACCTGGGGTGGTGGCGCAGTTGGCTAGCGCGTAGGTCTCATAGCTTCTGAGTAATCCTGAGGTCGAGAGTTCGAGCCTCTCTCACCCCAATTTTTTTTTTTTTAAATATTTTTTTCTGCTACTTGACTTTTCTGATTATATGATTTATATCCTATGGATGTGTAATGTGTAATGTGTAATGTGCAAAAGGTTATGTAATGTTTATTTTGCTGTATTCTCTAAGAATATTTGCATTCAAGAATTGTAATTATAAAATTTATAGCTGAAAGATATACATTCATGAGAGCTAACGCATAATAATAGGTAGACATTAGACAAATATGTAATTAACACATTTTTCTTCATTACCATAGAAAAGTTCTCTCAACAAAACCACATTTAATTTAAACGTTTAGCCCTTAAAAAAATAAAACAATTTAATGGGTTATCCCATCAAAACATTTTATTTTATTTTTGAATAAATTAAAAGATACACATGAAACTAAGCACGTCTTCTCTCAACACCGTTGTCATCTTGTCAATATTGAAGACACTAGACCTACTAACAACGTCCTTAAAACCACCAACAACAACCGCCCTGAAGCCATTTCCGAAGCAGCCGATGCGTGCTTAGTAGATTCAGAGGAGTGCTTGGTGGCAGCAATAGAAGCCGAAGGCGGCGGAGGAATAGAATGAACAACAATAGAAACCTTCATTCCACTAGTACAACCACCAGTGCCACAAATGAAGTAGTATCTTCCTGTCTTATTCAAATGGACAAAATCCTTCCCATTGCTCCAATTCCCTGCTGCTCCTTCAATTGTACAATTGTCATATCCTGTCTTGTTCACTTCAAACACATTGTACTCAAATTTCTTGTACCTAAAAGCTGCAAAATCACACAATTTTAGTGCTTTAATTTAGTGCTTATATACCAATAACCAATTCAATATAAGTCCACATAGTCAATATATGATAAAGTCTAACCCGACTTGCTTTGCCTGATACGATACAGCCCAAAATGAAAAGTGTTAAGATCATTCAGAAACGGATGCAGTATCAGTATTTAAGACCAATACTACTAATAATACTACTATATAATTTTCCTCAAAAAAAAAAAGTAATAATAATACTACTATATAATAACTAATTTTTTGTTACTTATATACAAAATAATTAATAAGGTAGGAAGTACATACATATGTAATCACCAACATAAAAAGTTTGGTTGTTAGCCCAATCAGTGTAGTTGATTCCAGGGTTCCAACCCTTATTGGCACCAACAATGTGGTCGGTAGCGGTGGCCGGATAAATTAAAAAGGCAGTACCGACAACGACGAGGAGGAAGTGGATAAGGGAAGGTGATGAATTGGACAACATGACCGTTTGATGGTTGCCCCCACTTCCAACTGGATGTTTTGTGTTTGTGTGGTATATGTAGTGATAATAAATTAAAAGCAGCAAAAGATGTTGCCTTTCACTATATGTTATTGAAGACAGTTTGGATATGATATAGACAGTTGATAAACCAGCTAATATAGACAAACGGTTATTTATATAATATAGGGTTAAAAAAAAAAGGCGCTCCCAGGATATTTGAATATAAAGTATGCAATTTAATATTATACTGTAGTACATAATATTCATTAGGCATTATTTCAATAATAATTATGCTAGAAAAAAGAGGTTAATCCACTTCCTATTTTTTTATATGGCATGCGAGAATGATATATGTACATTTTAAACTGTGCTCCCTAGGTCCAATAAAGCTGTTCTAATAGAGTATTAGTGTATTACTAATTCATTATGAATAATGTAATTATGTAAGTAAATTTTAGTATTATTGAGTCTTTTTTTTTTTTGTAAGTAAAGGCACTTTGTGTGGAACATTATAACGATTTTTAATTTATTTTATCAAGTTTATGAGGTACAATTACAATCCTCCAGATCAACAAAAAATTTGTTTCCCTCCTAAATGAAATGTATTGGATATTCTTCCTAATTTGATTACTTCTTGAATCTTGATTTCTTGTAAATAAAGAAATGAAATAGGCATCTTTGAAAGAAATTTCTTTGAGTTATATTAAGAGTTGAACGAGGATGTAGTTGGTAAGAGCTCTATGAAAAATACTTCGTACTTTAGTTGATTAACATGTGAACACGTGATAGAAGTCTGGATGAGGATACTTGAGGAAATTGTTGATGGTCAAGCGAGTAAACCCCTTCATTTAAATAGATGATTAAGTGCTACTCCAAATGCAAATGTTTTCATGCATCCAAGTCCAAGTATTGATTAATATATTCCTCCTTTTATTACTCCACAAGTCCACATAATTTACCTAAACATTGAGTAGTAACATTAAAGTTGGTCTTCTAACAACTTACGAATCGCTTACTAGGAAGACACAAAAGCTAATAAGGGTACAATTTGATGGATTAAATCATTAGTGTAAATTAGGGGGGAAAATAAAAGGAGGGAAGAAGCATAAAAAAGAGAGACAAAGCTGCATGGTGAAGGAAAACCAGTGAGTACCATAATCACATGCAATAGTAAAAAGAGGCATATATTGGTCCAACTCAACATTGAATATAATGTGAATGTCCGTGATATCAGGCGCAATTTTGGGTTGGTGCGCCCAATGAGCTGCAACTTTAAGCATTTTTGCTTAAAAATAGTCGTAAATTTTGAAAGAAACCTTAGAGCCTTCATAATGACTAGCTACATGTACATATCATTTTAGATTGTCACATTATTAATCTTCAACCTACATGATTTAAGTTACAACATCTACAATGGTAAGCGATATTTTTTGTAATAAATAAATCATAAAAAAATAAAAAAATAAAAAAACAAATTAATACTACCTCCATTTTTTTTTAATTGACACGTTTTGACTTTAACACTATTCACACATTTTCATTTGACCGTGTTTTGTGATTTATACGTAATGAAAAATATAGTCATGTGAGGTCTTGTTAGAATCGTCACGCTTTATATTTTCAAATTCAACTTTTTATAATTTTTGGTAATCGGTAATTAAAGATATTAACAGTTGAATTTGCGCATTGGCAAACGTGACTAAAAACCTATGTATTTTGGCCTTAGCTACAACCTATGTAGCTCCATAATGGCTACAACAGTACAACCTATGTAACTCCACAATGGCTAGCATGTAGTCTCAACATTATTTAGAAATTGCAAGCAAGTCCTTTTATGCAACCATCATAAATGCTCTATATTCTCTTAGAATTAGAAATATTGTGAGGTTGAATCAATGAATAAAAAAGACTAAAGATTTACTGTGCATGATGCAAAATTGCAAATGTTGAGTGTCTCAAATAAAAATTCTATTATGGTCTGCTTAAAATAACCATCACTATTTTTAAATCTAATTGGTTGATTTTTTCTTTTTATTTAAATGTTTGGTCAAACCTCTTTTTTTTTATTTCTTTTTTTTAATTCATTATTTTTTTCTGAAATTAATTTATGTTCTGATATTTTAAAAAATCAATTTTTTACTTTCATAATTATTTGATTAAAATCAATTTTTTAGTTCATTTAGAATTACGTCCATGCAATGTTTATACAAGTAGAAAATCTCGATGTACAAAGATTTTGAAGATCAATTTGACATTTCCCCACTAATCAATTGCATGTAATTACCAGGATTTAATGTGGGAATTGCAAATTTGCAATCACATGAATATTGTACACGATAAGAGGATCATAATGCAATTAGGCTTTTGCACCTTCAAGTAAGCCAATGGATACATTTCTTATATCGGGTAGTATAGTAACTGCCTGATACTGCCGTAAATCGTTCATAATTCATAAAAGCGATTTAAACTGAAATTGAACCAAACCATACTACGGTTAGCTTCTACCTAGCTAGTAAGTAGCTAGTTACTGTACGACCTAAATTTAAAAATTAACTGAAATAGATGGCTAATGATTAACCTACATAATTTTACACACCCGTATATATCTTTCATAATTAATGTTCAATACATAATTAGTTTTTTTTATATGAGAATCACATTGCGCCAATTACGGAGTATTAGAGGAACTACTCCCTCCTTTTTTCGTTAGTTACTCTTTGACTTTTTTTTTTCCCTTTTTTTTTATTTTTAATAAACATTGATTCATAAATAAAAAATTATACAACATTTACAAAAAAATTTACATTTAATATATACATGACAATGGAATCAAATAAAAATATTCGTTCAGCAGAGCTACAATCGTTGTTGCAAATCGTACATTTTTCATACCCTCTTTCATATCGCTGTAATTTACAGTCTTCTTTGACGAGAGGGTTTATCGATCTGTTGTAGTCGTGAAGAAAAATTTCATTTGATTCATCTGATTGTACTCAAAGGATTAACCTCTTTTTCGATCTCGCACAAACTTTTACCCATAAAAAAAATTGTACTATACTAAACTCAAAAAACAAAAACAAAAACTAGAACAAATCCCACCATAGGGGCTCTTATTACACTCAAACCCACTATAAGGGTACTTATTACCTTCAAAGAGTGTAAATTATTGAATTCAATAATAAAAACATAAAGAAATTAAAGAAAAAGAGTCGAAGATAGCCAAATTTTTGAGAAATTTGACTATTTCAGGCCTATAAAACACTTTTTTTTTTTAAGAACCCTAGAGAGGGGGAAAAAAATAGAGAGCTTTGACTTTTTTTTCTCTAATAAAACGATTTCAAACATAACCAACAAACAAGAGCATATATAGTTAAACAGTTTTATTTTATAAAAATAAGAAAAAATTGATACCATCCCTCGTAACTATGGACATTCTTTGTTAAAAGGTGTCAATTATTGATTAACACATGACGACTCTAATTTTGGGGGCATGCTTAAAACAATCCCTAACTTATTATGACCAAGTAGATTGGTTAAAATTGCAACAATGTAAAATTTTTAGTATATTATTTTACTAAATATCAATCCCTCCGTCGAATAATACTTGACACAATCATTATTTTCATTCGTCCCAAAATACTTGACACGTTACTAAAATGGAATCACTAATAAAAAAAATATTTTTTTATACTCTCTTTGGGATTACAAACTATAAAATCCAATTAAATCCTACATTTTTTCTCTCCTTACTACCCCCACCTTCCCCACTTTTTATTTTCTTACAATATAAAAATACAAAAGAGAATCTTTTATACAATAAACAAATGTTTTAAATAAACTCACTTGTAATTTTCTAAAACTATGTGTCCACCCTAACGTCCCAAATATTATGGGACGGAGGGAGTATTGTTTAAAGGTGAAATGAATAAGGCCTACGGAAAGGATAGGTGTTTAGAGTGATGGAAGATTACTTTTTTACTAGGTCTATCGAAAACATGACATGTGACGTTTTGAAATTGACCGATTAAAATTAGGACCTTCCTGAATTAATCGATAGTAGAAAACTTTTGAAAAGAAAACCGGTCATACTCCGTCGTTGATACAACGGGTAAACAAAAGTACTCCTAATGCGAATTATGCTATGTCAGCTACGGCTAATGGAGTCAGAGTAATAAAGTATCAACTGCCTGATTTAGTTATCTGACTCTAATGAAAAACAATGGCTGATTTATAGAAACCGCAATATTAACTCAGAGTGGCCAGCTGTTCAGATTTAGCAATACAAATAATGCTAATTAATTGATTAAAAAATTAAATGAGTAAATTAAAATTTGGAAAGAGAAGAGTAGATAGCTAGGTAGGCTAGATGATCTTTGCAATTTTGGTTGTCTCCTGCCCATCAAACATGGGGAGTTGCACTCCTTATTTGGACCATCTTTGTAAACAACCACCCTAACCTCTTGCTCTTTGTTTTTTTACCCTTTTATTTCTTCGAGGTTGCAAGCTTGCAAGTGCATCATTAGTTCATTACATACGGAGTTCTCTCTATAACACTATTACTCCCTCAATTCCTTTTTGATTGATCTATTTGAGTAAATTTTATAGAAATTAACAACGATAGAGGAAAGCTAGTAAAAGTACATTAAAAAGTTAATTCACATAGAATTTGTAAAAAAATAGGGAGATACAGTAACAAAAGTATATGAAAAAGCAAAATTCACATAAAGGGTATTAAATTTTTAATGCAAATGAGTTTATCGTAATAGACCAAGAAATTGGGCAAATGGATCAATCAAAAAGGATGTAGGAAGTACTTTAATTTTATGTATGGGTATTTGATAAATTTTTTTAGCCCTTGTGTAATTAATTAGTACGTAGTACTGTTTTCATTCTGTATTTTTGGCACACTATTCATTTTCATCCGATTCTAAACGAGGAGGTTCTATATAGGTCGTGTTGGTTCTATTTGTGAGAAGGTTTTGTATAGGTCGAGTTTGCTCTTTTCAACAATAGTTGATTCATATGACCAATTCAAGTCATTCAATTGTTTTATTTCATGTTTAGGTCAAAGTAATTGAGCAAGTTCGACTGGTACAAACATATAGCACAAAGCATAGAAAAAGTCTGAATGTATAAAGTCAACTTAATAAAATAAAAAATAAATTTATAAATGGGTAATTGAATTCAGATAAGGGATTAAAATAAGCTCGATTATTAAAAATAAAAAGTTTAGACAAGTCCCAAACTCCGAATAGTCACTATGATATTTTAAGGTGCAATATACTTCTACTCCGTCTCTTCTTTTTTTAAACTTAAAGTCTATAGATATGATTCATATGAATCTTTTCATGGAGAAAAAATGATCAAAGTAAAAATTAAAGGGTAACAAAGGAAGTATGTAAAAATCTTTTCACCTCATTTCTAATTAATTTTAAAAATTTATTTCATGATTTTAACTCTTCAAACTAATTTACAAGGATAAAATACAATTTTTTACTAATTGTAATTTGTCTTTACTGGTTTTAACAAGTTTAAAAAAAATGCTTAAATGCTAATTTTTGTTAATCTTCCACAAACGGCATATTCCCCCTAAATTGGCATCTTTTAGATATAAGGAATTTAAGATACCTAAATTTGTAAAGTAACCTTAATTTATTTTATTTTAATTAAAAAACTTTAATTTCAGTCAGGATAGTTTAGTTAGCCTGTCAGGTGTTCTAGGTTCCTGTGCAAAAATTTCAAAATCCAAAAGTCTCGTCCCAGATTTAAAATTTAATCAATCTGGATTTTACAGTCTACGATGCTCCAATTTATTTCCGAACTTTTCCGCTCTTATCAAATCTGCAGAGAAGGAAAAAAAAAAAAAAACAAACGCATATCAGATTTATCATCCCAATAAATATACATAATCAAACAAACAAACAAACACAAAAACTTAAAATAAAATAAAACACCTAAAACACATACTCACTTCAAACAAATTATTGAAAAAATAAATAAAAAATACGAAATATAGATAAAATAAATACGGGTTTTGATGAATAACAGGATTTGGATTAAAAATGAAATCAAAAATGTGGAAAAAATAATGGGATTCCTGTATGGAATAATCATCAGATTTAACACACACAAGTTCTTGTAAGTTAATTAACCAATTATTGTGAAATTAGTGATTTAAATTATGATTTAATCAATTTTAAAAAATTAACTAGTAAATTCAAATTCACCATTGATTTAATAAAAATAAACAGGTACTACTATGACTCAAGACTTTCAAGAGATCTAGTAATTTAATTTTAGTAAATGCATAACAACCACTACGTCCTGTAAAAATATTCGGATCTTGGAGGATTTCTATACACAAAAAAAAAAATAAAAAAAAAAAAACTCGGCGAAACAACTCAGCATCAACTCAGTGAGTGAGTCAACGCGGATGATCCGATCCACGACTCAGTGAGTCAACTCGGGCGCCGCTTCCACCGCTCCTGTACATACAACAACAAACAAATTCAAGCATCTTCCGCCTTCGACATCGCACTGAGTCGACTCGGTCGAGGTTGGAAATCGGATCGCCGCCTTTGCTGGTGCGCGCAAGGACGGATCAACGTCGCAAGAGCGCGTTTCACCCACTCACCGCCTTCAACTGTACCGATTCTCACCAGCGAGTTCGTCATCGCGGATCGCCGCATGTTCAACCGGTTCGGCTGATACGACACCGTATTCTGCTTCTTCGCTTCCAGATTCTTGTGGTAGCTACACCGAAATGAGCCAGGATGTGTTGTCGGAGAACATAAACATGTTTTCTTCTTCCCTGTTGTCGCCGGGAATGGATTCCGATTCCGATTCACGGCGGCGAAGGATCTGTTTGGCGACGTCGGTCGGTTATCGATTGAGAATCGAACCGATGGCGACGTCGTTTGAGGAGAGGAGCCGTAGATGCTGACTCGCGTAGGAGAAGATGATCGGTGAAAGAGATTTTCGGATTGCGATGAGAAAGTTGGAGAAGATGAAGCGAAGGAAGAAGATGAGGAAATGGATGATGCACAGAATCTTCCAGAAGGTGAGTGAGAGCGTTGATGGCGCGACGTAGTAGCCGCCATTGTTTTTACAGAGGAGAGAGGAAGTGAGTTTTTTCAATGGCTTAAGGAGGAAGAAAGAGGAGAAATGTAAATCTTTAATTTTGTTTTTTTTTTTTTTTTCTAAAAAAGGGGATTTCGGATTTCAGTTCTCCAAACCTAGAGGTGTCGCCGAGAGGGTATTAATAGAAGAATGAAGAAGATGGGTGTGTTGTAAAAACCTGAATTTTAAAGGGTAATAATGTAATTTCTGATATTGATTTTTATATTAAAATAAAAAATCCGGCCGTTGGTTGAAGAAACCAGAACAGGTTTAGGGTTAGGTTTTTTTAACAACACGCGCGTGTAAAGAGGTAAACTATACGGTTGATTATGAGCCGTTAATTTAGGTAAGATCTGATGGATGGGAATTGTTGCGAGTGGGAATATTTATTGAAGTGCGTGCCGAAGAAAGTGGCTTAAAAATGAAGCTTGAGAAGGGGGAGTATAGATGGGTGCCACGTATGTGATTCGGAAGGAATCAAATCGATATTCAAGGGTCCTGATTTTTTGGGATTCTATTTTTAAATTAATTATTTTGATTTTTAAAATAGAGTGGATTAATAATTAGGATAATTAATTATATGAAGTGCAGTTGAAACGCAATAATAATAGGGAATTCAGATATAGTGAATTTGGTGTACCTTTGATGTCAAATTATTTACCAGAAAAGTTTTAGTATCGTGTCGTGTCGTAATAAGTCGAAACAATGATGCTATTGTAATTTATTTTAACAGTAATTATTTATTATTCTATATTTCTACGATACTAGAGTTTACCCCTATAATATGCACGAGATATATATTATATTAGAAAGATATTAAATATATAATATAAAAAAAAATTTCATATACAGAAAGTTGATTTGACATAGTAATTTAGGCCATGTTCTTTTGAGCTACTGTGGTCTGGTATGCTCTACTCTACTCTGTTAAAATCTGTTCTACTGAGTATTAATAATTTGTTGACACCTATTTAGTTCTGCTGAAATTTGATGTTCTCTGCTTTGCTCTGCTCAGAAATTCAAAAAAACAAGGCCTACTCTTATATGTGGGGGGCCACACAATGTGGCCAGTTATTATGGGGATTACTTTGTTAAAGCTATAGAGGCTACCCATTCAGCGTTATAGGGGTTACTCGATTAGTGTCATAGGGGTTATTTCATTAATGCTATAGGGGTTACTTTGTTCTTCTGCAAGCAGCTATTCGGTGAGGTCAGTCGTGCAAAAAGCGTGTTGTAAGTTTAAAAATGTGAAATGTTATTAGTTATTGCAGTCCCTTGAATATATATATATATATATATATATATATATATATATATATATATATATATATATATATATATATATATATTATGATGGGTAGTTATTGATTTTTTTTATTTTTTTTGTAAGTTTAAAAATAAATAAATAAAGTAGTGGGATGGGTGCTTGGGTAGTTATTGGTTTGTAAATAAAAAAAAATATAAATATAAATAAAAAATAAACTCAAATCCATGAGATTTGAGCTTTGGAAATTTGGAGGGATGTGGTGAATTGACTCTAAAATTATATAAAAGATTAGAGTGTGCCCGTACAAAATACACGGGGTATATATTATATTAGAAAAATATTAAATATATAATATAAGAAAAAATATATTTCAAATACAGGAAGTTGATTTGATGTAGTAACTTAGGTCATGTTCTTTTAAGCTGCTGTGGCCTGGTATGCTCTACGCTGTTATGTTAAAATCTACTTTACTGAGTATTAATAATCTGCTGACACCTATTTAGCGCTGCTGAAATTTGATGTTCTCTGTTCTGTTCTGCTCTGCTCAGAAACTCAAACAAACAGGGTCTTACTCTTATATGTGGGTGGCCACACAATGTGGCCAGCTATTATGGGGATTATTTTGTTAAAGCTATAGAGGTTACCCATTCAGTGTTATAGGGGTTATTCGGTTAGTGTCATAGGGGTTATTTCATTAGTGCTATATGAGTTACTTTGTTCTTTTGCAAGCAGCTATTCGGTGGGGCCAGTCGTGCAAAAAACGTGTTGTATTTTTTATTTTATTTTTGTTTTGATGATTAGAGAAGTGGATATTGTTTGGAGGATATTCCCCAAAAAAAATAAATGCATATAATTGAAGGGTTGGGGATTTTGAGTGCTATGGTGAATTGTTGATAAAGGAATTGTATACCCATATATTATATGCGAAAGAAAATGTGGATTGCTAAACATCGCCCGCAAATCTCCACATAAAGCCCACAAACTTATATTGAAGTTACAATATTGCCCTTGACCTTAAAAAAAAAAACACAACCTCAATAAAAATCAAAGTACGGGGATGTCGAGGCTCGTGGCGGCAAGGTGGTTGGCTCGTGGCGGAAAGGTAGTGGTGGCTCGTGGCGGCAAGGTGGTGGTGGCGCCAGGTCCGGCAGCCACGTCCACCGGCCTGGCGTCTGGGCAGGACGCCCAGCCACGGTGAGTGGCGTTTGGGACAGGCGCTAGTCACTGTGGCTGGGCGTCCTGCCCAGACGCCAGGCCGGTGGACGTGGCTGCCGGACCTGGCGCCACCACCAGCCACGGGCCGTCCTGGCAAGGCGGCCCAGCTGCCTTAATTTTTTTTTTTAAATTTTTTTTTTTTTTTTTTTTTTGGAAAATCAGAAAATTTTTATAATTTTTTTTAATGTGTTTTTTTTTTTTTTAATAATTATTAATTTTATGTGTTATTTTTTATAAGTCTAGTATATATATTTTTTTATAAAATCAAATAAAAAACATAAATTTCCACATCCTAAATCAAAACATAAATTTAATAAACATAATTTTTTTTTAAAAAAAAGGCAAAAAAAATAATAATTAAAAAGTAAGGGCGGCGTCCAAACCAGACGCCAGTGCACTGGTGGTGGCGCCTGGCCTGGACGCCAGTGCACTGGTTGAGGCGCCTGGGCTAGACGCCAGTGCACTGGTTGTGGCGTCTGGCCTGAACGCCAGTGCACTGGTTGTGGCGCCTTGCCTGGACGTCCTTTCCATGGTTCCGGCGTCCAAACTAGGCGCCACCTCGTTTTCCGTCGAAGACGACGTATCTCCGGCGACCCTCGCCTCTCCGGCCTCCCTGGGCAACCCAATACGACTCCACATTTGTTAGATCGAGATTTGTTCACTTTGGGTACGATTTTAGAAATGGGCAAAATTGTCAAACCATGTCTAATTTGTGGGCTTTATGTGGAGATTTGCGGGCGATGTTTAACAAATCCCAAGAAAATAATATAAAGTGAAATGTTAGTAATGTTTTTTTTTAAAAAAAGTGAAATGTTATTAGTTATTGCAGTCCCTTGAAAAAATACAAAAAAAAAAAAAAAAAAAAAATAGTAGGATGGGTAGTTATTGAATTTTTTTTTGGAAAATTTGTCAAAAATAATACGACCTTTCATCGGTCTTCCCAAAATAAAACGACCTTTGGATTATCTCAATATAATACGACCTTTGATACATATCTTCCATAAATGAAACGTGACCGGTTGGTAACCTATTGAATAGGTTACCTATGACACGTGTCAAAGTATCATTGGTCAATTTATATATTATTTTCAATTTTTTAAAAAAAAACCTTAAAACTGAAAAAAAAAAAAAAAAACTTATTAATAAAAAGAAAACCCCCCTGTCATCCCCACCGGCTTTACCGCCCCTCCTCTTCCACTGCCCATCCCCTCTCTTCGCCGGCGTCTTCCTATCCCAACCCTATCGACGCCAGACCTCCCTTTTCCGACGCCATTTAATTCCCATCCCCGATTCCGTACTCCCACTCCCATCCTTGTCCCCAAATTTGGCCCCCAATTCCTACCCTGTTCCCGATTTTGTCGCCCCTCCCTACCACATTTCGATCAGATGCTATCACCTATTTCACCTCCCTCTCCTTCACGCAAGCTCTCTCTACTCTCTTTTCCCATAGGTTAAGGTGTTGGTTGGGTTTCAAGGGTGGAGCGGCAATTTCACGGTGGTGGCGGTGGTTTGAAGGTGATAGATGAGGATATGTACGTTGGTTTGTTTTGAGTATGGGCTGGGAGGGGGCGGACTTAGGGAGTGGGCAGCGATGTGGCTGGCTGGTTTGGGGTGGTTTCCAGGGAGTGTTTGGTGGAGATGGAGGTAGAGGCGGGGAGGGGATCACGGGGAAGAAGGTGGTGTTTTGTTAATTTCAATTTTTAAAATTAAGATCATTAATATAAAAAAAAAATCTTAACAAATTACAACAAGACACGTGTCAAATGTAACCTGTAAAACAAGTTACCGGTTTTTTGTTCAATTTATGGAAGATATGTGTCAAAGGTCGTGTTATTTTGAGATAATCCAAAGGTCGTTTCATTTTGGGAAGACCGGTGAAAGGTCGTGTTATTTTTGACAAATTTTTCTTTTTTTTTTTAAAAAATTTAAAAAATAAATAAAGTAGTGGGATGGGCACTTAGGTAGTTATTGGTTTGTAAAAAAATAAATAAAATAAAAAAAATAAAAAATAAAAAATAAAAAATAAAAACTCAAATGCATGAGATTTGAGTTTTGCGGATTTGGAGGGATGTGGTGAATTGACTTTAAAATTATATAAAAGATTTACAAAAATTAAAAAGTTGCTCATTCTATAAATGAATCCATCCAAAAATTAGATTTGAAAAAAAGCTTTTTCCACTTTTTGTCTAAAACATGATGTTGGGCTAAAATTAGGAAAGGGTTGCTAAAACTTTGAAGTTTTTTTTTTTTTTTTTTTTTTTTTTTTTTTTTTTTTTTGGGAGATTTTATTAAGGGTTTAGTTTAGCTAATGAATGATATAATTGGCAATGTATAAACATCAAATGTACATTTTAAACCTACAATGGTAACTTTTTATTAATTATTGCAAAATTATGTTTTATTCTATTAGAGAAATAATTTAAGACATTTTTACCTTTACTCTTTTTTTTTTTTAAGAAAAAACACATGACTAATATTGCAATTAGCTAGGTTACTTTTAACATTTGTTATTTGAAATCTTAATCGTTACATGCGTGTAACTTACAATATATTTTGGTGCTAAACACGTGTTATGCATTCATTAAATTATGAATCTGTCACGCTATAGCCTTTGAAGCAGTTCATGTTTTCGGGGAAAAAGCCATTAAATAATGATGTTGTTACACTTTAGGTTGCATATTGTGAGAAAATAATTGTCTTTATTAGTCATCAATTACCATATACATTAGAAAATACAAGTAGGCATGAGTGATTTGTCTTGTTCAAATACATATCTCAAGCTAGAAGTACAAGTTTACAAT